TCCGGGTGCATTTTTTACCTGTATATAAAAAGAACTATATATATATTGAATATCCATCGTAAGAATCGGTTTATGAGTGAAATTTCGTAATTTTCTGTTCTTAATGACTTTTTTTATAACAAAATTGTGTAATATTTTTATTTACATATTTTTATTGTTTATCGAGTTAATAATTATTAGTTAAAATTCTTAAATAAATGATGATAAATAATTTAATTTGTTTGAAAAAATTTAATTAATTAAATTTTTTGTTTACTAAATTCAGTTAATTATTAAACAATTATTTTTTTTTTGCATAATTTAGTTAATTATTAAAATTAATTTTTTTTGCGAAATTTGAATTCTTTTGTTAGTTTTTTTTTTTTTTTTTTTAATATTGTAGCATAAATCAAGTACTTTCCAAACGATGGAAACGCCCCGCGGTAATATGCAATCGTTGAATGGAAAGGCCATGTTCTTGCTTTTGTCTAAATAAGATCTGATTTCTTGCAAGAAGCCCTATTTTTTATTATTATTATTATTATACTTGCAATAAATTATCGCCTTTCTTATACATGTACGTTTAACCTGAATGGAGACAAATCAATCGTCAACGCCTGTTTTTTTTGTAATTAATTTCTAAATAATTTATAAATGACCAAAAATTACGTACATCGTTTCCTAATTTTTTTTTGCATTATTGATTTTTTTTAAATTTTTTAATTACTTTTTTGTTATTTTGTATTTGTTTTATAACTTTTTTTTTTGTTATTTTCTATTTATTTTTTTTTTAATTTTTTTTATTTTTTTTTTTATTTTATTTAGGTATTATTTATATATATATTGTATATTAGAGTAAAATTGCTTTTTTTTATTAATTTATTTCTTTAATTAATTTTTTTTAAATAATTTATTTGAGTGTGTAAATTTTATTCATTTTTGTTGAATTTTGTTTTTCGTTTCTTTCTCTGAATACAATGAATCATCATAAAATAATTTTGTCTTTGGGAGAGAAGCGCGAGAAAAGCCGTTTAGTGTCCATTTATCGTGACAGAACATCGGCAAAAAACCTCGTGTCTAGAAATTTTTAAATCTACGAAACGAATAAATTATATTCACTCTTAAGATCGCGTCTTTGATATAAGATTTTGCATTGCCAGATGAGGAATTTCTGTAGGAGGATGCAACCTCGTCGCATTGAAAAATAGAAATTTTTTTTTTTCATTAAAATAATAACAATTATATAGTTTATTTCAAATTTTTTGAAAATACCTTTTGTTATTTTTATTATTATATCTTAATAATTATAATAATATTATTAATAATATATTAATAATAATTTTCATAATTATTATTATTATTATCATTATTATTATTATTATTATTATTATTATTATTATTATAATTATTCTACTATATATTATAAATAAAATTCATTTTTACTAATTTGTTATGTTAGATTTTTATTTTTTTTTAAATTCTACTCATTTTGAAAATTAAAAATTATTTTTTAGTGATTCTTGGAAGATTTTTTATTTTTTTTTAGGGTGGGAGGGGGTTATTCTGGTACAAATAAAATGCATAGTGAATCACAAGGCCTTTGTGTCTGAACGAGTCCGGTGTCAGGAAGTGAAAGCATTTTGGTCTGACAATACGGCCATGGACCTTCTCTATATACTTTTGAAACTCTCATTTCGCAGTCGAATCGTACATATATACAGCAAAAAAAAAGAAAAAAAAACGTCTATAAAATTCCGACTTATGCAAGTTTTATATCTAGAGATTGCTAACACGTAAAAAAAAAAAAAAAATTTCAAAACACTGCTTTATATATACTTTCAAAAATTTTTAAATTTTGCAATTTATAAAAAATTAATTTTTTTTTTATTAAAATAATTTTTATTTGCATTTTGAATATCTCTTTTTTATATATAATATTGTTAATTATTTAAATTAGAAGAATTACATGTGAGATGATAAATGAAAATGAGGTTCAAGGAATAAGAAACAAGGCATACAGTGTCGACGGAATTGCATATATATATATATATATAAAGCTATTTAACATTACTACTGAGAATTAATAACAAACAAGACTTTAACAACCGGAGGCGCGCAAACCCACGTATAGAATTTTTTTTTTTTTCTTTCTTTCTTTCTTTTCCACCAAGAAAATGAAATAAAACAACCGCCTTGGAATCCCGATTCACTATATACTTACGAAACATCCGTCACTTAGACAATTTTCTAAAGAATACTTCTATTAAATTAATTGTTAAATCATTATAATATATTAAAGTATTCTGTGTGTAAAAAAAAAAAAAAAGAAAAATTAGTCCAAGAATTTGGTATCATATAACTGTTATTTAAAAAAAAAAATGATCTAAAATTCTTTTTCTTTAAACTGTGCGTTAAATGATAAACGAAAAAGTTTAATAACTCCATTATATATATTTTTTTTATCTCCGATAATTATATACTAATGGTCAAAAATTTAATTGTTTTTTCTCCTCTCTTTTTCAAAGAAAAAACATAATTTTCTTTAATTGAGTTAATTTAATGACAATTACGATAAAATGTTGTGTGTTTTTTTTATATAATCTATTCTTATAATTACATCATTTGTAAGGCTATTTAATTGATTAAACATTAATTAAATATGTAGAACGTGACTTTGTAGAAATATATTTTTTATAATTTAAAAATATTTTTTTTTTGCATTGGAAAAAAAAATTTATCTGTAACAAAAGGTTTCAATAGTGATTAATTTAAATGGAAGAATTATACAAATTTTTCTATTCTAGTGAAATCTTTCCCTGTTTCAGATAAATATTTTTTTGTCAGTAATTTAAATTATTTAAATTATTATTATTTATTAATATTATGATTGTAATTTTTTAATATTTAATATTTTTTTACATATAAAAAATCAAATTTTTAAATTATAAATAAATATTAGAGAAATGAATTAAAATAATTTTTGTCTAAATATATGAATTTTTTTTCTTTTTTATGAAAAATATATTTTTTTATGAACAATTTGTATTAATTAGACTGGTAAATGTATATATAAAAATTTCTTGCAATGATTGTGATTCTTCATAATATATATAATGGTGTGCAATAATAAATATATCGTGGGAAATGTGGAAACCTGTTGCTATTATCGTCGACCAACAGAGCATTAAAATATATATATACATATATATATATATATATACTGATTAAAGATTCTTTTATCCTAATACGACTTTAGAAAGAATTTCTAAAATGATATAATTTTTATTACAACAATTCTTAAATAATGCAGGAAGTCGTATGTACATACGGGAATGAAATAAAAACTTTTATAAAAATGCATTATGTATTTTAAAAAAAAAATAAATATTGAAATTATTACATACATTTATTATTAAATTAAATTATTTATTACAATATATACTAATTTATATTGTCAATTAATTTTTGTCGTATTTTTCAGTGAAACTTTACATATAGTTTCATTAACTAATTTATTAAATTATTATCAATTACTGAATTATAATTATTTTTACTTTTAGAAATTGAAAATATAAATATATTTTCTGTGATTATACTCTGCCTAATGTTTATTCAATTTAATTCAGGAAACATGACCTAAAAATCAAAAAAATGCTTTCAAGTAATTATATATATATATAAATATATATATATTTTTTTTAAAGGGACGTTACACAATTTGTTTCACTGATTGTAATTAAATTGCCAAAGCGGATGCTTTCTTCTTATATTTCTTTTCCTGTTAATTCAATTTTTTTTTCTATTATAAATTTTCATGAAAAAAAAACAAACTTTTTTTCCACTTGTTCAAGTAAACCATAAAACCTCATGATATCATTCAAATATTATTTTTATTATTTTTTTTTATCACACAAAGACTGCAAAAATTTTTGCTAAACGTCTGCAGACTTTTTTGCGGACTAATTTACCTGAGAAAAAATGAATGTTTCAATATAATTTTTCGTTTATTTGAAATAAAATAAATATATTATATCATCAATGTGAGATTATTATTTTTTTCCGGGTAATAACTTTCACGATTATTCACCAGATTGAAATAATATTATGGGGAAAAAAAGTAAAATGTAGGTTAAATAAAAAAGTGAACTATTCCTTCCAATCAAGTGCAATCGACCTTGAAGGTATGAACATTTAAATTATATATGTTTAATAAATAAAAACAAAAGTTAATTTATTGTTAATTTTTTCATATTCTTAAAATAATAATAAATTTATAAAAATTAACAATAAAAAGATACAATAATAAAAATATAACTAATAACAATAATTATTATTATTATATATATTTTTATTGTTGATTCTGCAATTTTAATAAATGCTTCGTTGAATTGTGGGCCATTATCATAATAGGACATTTATCATAATAATCGGTCATCTTGTGTGGGTTGAATAAAATTGAATAAATTATATCAGATTGAAAAGATTTGTCGTCATTTTTTTTTTCTTTTTTTTTTAATAGACACGTGGTCACTGTTAATAAATTTTTATTCCCAAAAAAAAGTCCGCTTCCTTTTACGTTCTTAATAATTTTATGTAATCTATAATATTTGTAACTTTTATTGTTTTTTTTTATTCACTCAATTCGTTAGAATCAAATTTTTTTCTAATCATTTTTTCTCTATAGTTAAAGATTTTTTAAAAAAAAAAGTGTTAAAGATTTTAAAGAATTTATAATATCAATATATATAATATAATTGGATTTGGTTTCTTCTTAAGAAAAGTAATTTTAGTTTTTAAATGTCATTGGAGCATCTTGCCATTTACATTATCGCAATGTCCATTGTGTTATTATATTAGCAGCCAGGACAATCGATTAGAAATGCCATATATTATAGTCAAAAGTCTCTCATTTAAATTTAACTAAATAAAAGAAAAAATAAATTTTTAATAATAAATAAATAACTTTCATACAATTAAATAAAAATATTTTTTAATTTTTAGTAATTTTTTTCTATTTGCAGAGGGCAAGGTGGAAGTTTCAAGGGACGGAAAATATTTAAGTACCTTAGCGCCTGGAAAAGTTTTAGGTGAATTAGCCATTCTTTATAATTGTAAACGAACAGCAACAATAACAGCAGCAACTGATTGTCAATTGTGGGCCATTGATAGACAATGTTTTCAAACAATAATGATGAGAACTGGTCTTTCAAGACAAGCAGAATACACGGACTTCCTTAAAAGGTATTTTAATTTTTATTAATATTTTTTAATACTTACTAGCAAATAATAATAAAATTTCAAAGAAAAAATCAATTTTTCATAGGCAGATGATTTTTCTGTAATTTCTTGCACAAAATACACCTAAAAGTGTAGAAAAAAATCGACAGCCAAATCCGAGTAGAGGAACACCATTTTTATGACCATTAAAGCGATTTTCGTCAAAAAAAAATTTTCAAAAAAATTCAATTTTTCTTAGGCAGACTATTTTATTGCAATTTCTTGCACAAAATACACCTAAAAGTGTAGAAAAAAATCGACAGCCAAATCCGAGTAGAGGAACACCATTTTTATGACCATTAAAGCGATTTTCGTCAAAAAAAAATTTTCAAAAAAATTCAATTTTTCTTAGGCAGACTATTTTATTGCAATTTCTTGCACAAAATACACCTAAAAGTGTAGAAAAAAATCGACAGCCAAATCCGAGTAGAGGAACACCATTTTTATGACCATTAAAGCGATTTTCGTCAAAAAAAAATTTTCAAAAAAATTCAATTTTTCTTAGGCAGACTATTTTATTGCAATTTCTTGCACAAAATACACCTAAAAGTGTAGAAAAAAATCGACAGCCAAATCCGAGTAGAGGAACACCATTTTTATGACCATTAAAGCGATTTTCGTCAAAAAAAAATTTTCAAAAAAATTCAATTTTTCTTAGGCAGACTATTTTATTGCAATTTCTTGCACAAAATACACCTAAAAGTGTAGAAAAAAATCGACAGCCAAATCCGAGTAGAGGAACACCATTTTTATGACCATTAAAGCGATTTTCGTCAAAAAAAAATTTTCAAAAAAATTCAATTTTTCTTAGGCAGACTATTTTATTGCAATTTCTTGCACAAAATACACCTAAAAGTGTAGAAAAAAATCGACAGCCAAATCCGAGTAGAGGAACACCATTTTTATGACCATTAAAGCGATTTTCGTCAAAAAAAAATTTTCAAAAAAATTCAATTTTTCTTAGGCAGACTATTTTATTGCAATTTCTTGCACAAAATACACCTAAAAGTGTAGAAAAAAATCGACAGCCAAATCCGAGTAGAGGAACACCATTTTTATGACCATTAAAGCGATTTTCGTCAAAAAAAAATTTTCAAAAAAATTCAATTTTTCTTAGGCAGACTATTTTATTGCAATTTCTTGCACAAAATACACCTAAAAGTGTAGAAAAAAATCGACAGCCAAATCCGAGTAGAGGAACACCATTTTTATGACCATTAAAGCGATTTTCGTCAAAAAAAAATTTTCAAAAAAATTCAATTTTTCTTAGGCAGACTATTTTATTGCAATTTCTTGCACAAAATACACCTAAAAGTGTAGAAAAAAATCGACAGCCAAATCCGAGTAGAGGAACACCATTTTTATGACCATTAAAGCGATTTTCGTCAAAAAAAAATTTTCAAAAAAATTCAATTTTTCTTAGGCAGACTATTTTATTGCAATTTCTTGCACAAAATACACCTAAAAGTGTAGAAAAAAATCGACAGCCAAATCCGAGTAGAGGAACACCATTTTTATGACCATTAAAGCGATTTTCGTCAAAAAATAATTTTCAAAAATATTCAATTTTTCTTAGGCAGACTATTTTATTGCAATTTCTTGCACAAAATACACCTAAAAGTGTAGAAAAAAATCGACAGCCAAATCCGAGTAGAGGAACACCATTTTTATGACCATTAAAGCGATTTTCGTCAAAAAAAAATTTTCAAAAAAATTCAATTTTTCTTAGGCAGACTATTTTATTGCAATTTCTTGCACAAAATACACCTAAAAGTGTAGAAAAAAATCGACAGCCAAATCCGAGTAGAGGAACACCATTTTTATGACCATTAAAGCGATTTTCGTCAAAAAAAAATTTTCAAAAAAATTCAATTTTTCTTAGGCAGACTATTTTATTGCAATTTCTTGCACAAAATACACCTAAAAGTGTAGAAAAAAATCGACAGCCAAATCCGAGTAGAGGAACACCATTTTTATGACCATTAAAGCGATTTTCGTCAAAAAAAAAATTTTCAAAAAAATTCAATTTTTCTTAGGCAGACTATTTTATTGCAATTTCTTGCACAAAATACACCTAAAAGTGTAGAAAAAAATCGACAGCCAAATCCGAGTAGAGGAACACCATTTTTATGACCATTAAAGCGATTTTCGTCAAAAAAAAATTTTCAAAAAAATTCAATTTTTCTTAGGCAGACTATTTTATTGCAATTTCTTGCACAAAATACACCTAAAAGTGTAGAAAAAAATCGACAGCCAAATCCGAGTAGAGGAACACCATTTTTATGACCATTAAAGCGATTTTCGTCAAAAAAAAATTTTCAAAAAAATTCAATTTTTCTTAGGCACACTATTTTATTGCAATTTCTTGCACAAAATACACCTAAAAGTGTAGAAAAAAATCGACAGCCAAATCCGAGTAGAGGAACACCAGTTTTATGACCATTAAAGCGATTTTCGTCAAAAAAAAATTTTCAAAAAAATTCAATTTTTCTTAGGCAGACTATTTTATTGCAATTTCTTGCACAAAATACACCTAAAAGTGTAGAAAAAAATCGACAGCCAAATCCGAGTAGAGGAACACCAGTTTTATGACCATTAAAGCGATTTTCGTCAAAAAAAAATTTTCAAAAAAATTCAATTTTTCTTAGGCAGACTATTTTATTGCAATTTCTTGCACAAAATACACCTAAAAGTGTAGAAAAAAATTGACAGCCAAATCCGAGTAGAGGAACACCATTTTTATGACCATTAAAGCGATTTTCGTCAAAAAAAAATTTTCAAAAAAATTCAATTTTTCTTAGGCAGACTATTTTATTGCAATTTCTTGCACAAAATACACCTAAAAGTGTAGAAAAAAATCGACAGCCAAATCCGAGTAGAGGAACACCATTTTTATGACCATTAAAGCGATTTTCGTCAAAAAAAAATTTTCAAAAAAATTCAATTTTTCTTAGGCAGACTATTTTATTGCAATTTCTTGCACAAAATACACCTAAAAGTGTAGAAAAAAATTGATAGCCGAATACAAGTAGGGGAAGACTCCTATTACCACCTATAAGTCTGTGTTTAAAATAAATAGTTTTTAATTATTCAATTGTTATTTTTCTTAATTTTTTTCATTATTTGATTCACAATGAAGTATTTCTGAATGGAAGTTGTAAAATCAGCATCATGAAAAATATATTTATATATATTGATCACTTAAGATTTACTGAACTGTATATAATTTGAAAATTTTTGAATGATCAATGAATTTTAATTTGAATGAGTCATTTATAGCCACAGCTGAATAAATATTGCTATAAATAGATTTTAATGATCAGCCTCATCAACACTTCATGTTTTTAAATCTTCTTGTTTTCACATTCACGATCGACTTCAACTGAGCGTGAAATCCATTATTAATTACATACATCTTTCTATAAACCTTACATTAGGAATACGATTTCATTTTTTATATATTATTTCAATATAAAAAACACTAAAGAATAATTTTGTTTCTTATTATATTTATTATTATTTTAAATTTTTCAAAAAAAAAAAATATATAATTTTAGTTACATTGTTTATTAAAAAAAAAAAATTTTATTACGATTTTAAAAGAAAAAAAAATGTGTTAACTTGAAAATTGAGGAATATATTATAGTTTTTTCTTATTTATGATTCGTCTTTCCATAAATAGTTTCTCATTAATAGACATGGCAAATTTTATGAGATTAAAAATAGAAGTCGTTAGGGAAAACTTGGTTCGAAATCAAATAACTAAAAATAAGAATTAATTTTTTAATTTTATTATAAAATTCTTTTGATATATTTATTTTTATACTATTGAAACTAGAAAAATATTCTTAATATTAGAGGATTTTTCATACTATTATATGCAAATTTTCTCTAACTAAATTGAATTGAAACGATTTTTGTTTGTGAAATTTAATACAAAAGAAAATTAATATTTTTAATTATGTACTAAAATAAAAATATTTTATTTCAGTGTTCCTATTTTCAAGAATCTTCCAGAAGAAACTCTTATTAAAATATCTGATGTTTTAGAGGAGGTAAGAATTTTTTTTTTCCAAAAAATATTCTTTTTATAATTTATATTTATTAATATAATTATTTATTATTTATTATTATTTATTATTAATAATATATTAATTAATTAATAAAAATCTGAAATGAAAATAAAAAATACTATTTTTTTTTTACTTTAAAAATTTTGCCTCACGTATTATAAATTGAAAAATTGTTTCTATGTGTTTTAGACATTTTATAATCATGGAGACTATATAATTAGACAAGGAGCAAGGGGTGACACTTTCTTTATAATAAGTAGGGGGCAAGTGAGAGTGACAATGAAACAACCTGATACGACTGATGAGAAATATATTAGAACTTTAGGCAAAGGTGACTTTTTTGGCGAGAAAGCACTTCAAGGGTTAGTATATTTAAAAAAAATATTATTTCTTCATCCCTTTTTGGAAAATTAATTTCTAAAAATAGCTTAAAAATTTTGATTTAATTTTTCAGTGATGATCTTAGGACAGCAAATATAATAGCCGATGATCCAGATGGTGTGAGTTGTCTCGTAATCGATCGAGAAACATTTAATCAACTTATCTCGTCCTTAGATGAAATTAGAACACGATACAAAGACGAGCTAGTCGAACGTAGAAGGTAAATTATTATTGCAATAATAAATAAAAAAAAATTCTTTTAGAATTTTTCTAAACAAATTTGAAAAAAAAGTTGGAATTCTTTTCTTTTTATATTCTTTTACTTTATAAATTTAATTATAAGAACCTTTAACAAATAATCGTATATTATAAAGAAGAAATAAGAAAAAGCAGAGACCAAAGAAGATAATTCATATATATGTATATATAGATTAAAAATAGATTTTCAATAGATTCACGAGATATACTATTATAATATTATTTTATATTCGAGGGTTTGAAAATTGACCAATTAAAAAATTTCCAATTAATTACCTTCAACTTTTAGCAAATTTCGCATGATATTTTGGAATTGTTGGAAGTACATTTATCATTTAAAGTTGCAAAAAAAATAAAATTGTGTTTCACGTCTAAAACACAAAGGATATGGGGTAAAAAAAATATATATATGTGAGTTTTTCAAAATTGCATGTTGAGAAAAAAAATAGACTGCATTATTTATTTGCCTTTTGCTTTGTTTCCAAACAAAAAGAACAGCAACGCAAATTTATTCTAATTATCATAGATAGTATTATATAAGTTTTACAATTTTTTTTTTTTCTATAATTACTAATTTTTTTTGGTAATTTCGTATGTACACTACTGTTCGAAATTGTGCGAACGCTTACACCGCGAGTCATTGAAAAACATACTCGCGTGAAAATAAAGATAACTCTGAGAGAAATTAACGTAGTGACTTTTCCCTTATAGCGTTGGAAAGCTTATTAAATTTCGAAAAAAATGATAACACAATTATGATATCTTTCGCGTTATACAAATAATTTATGTTCACAAAAAGGCAAAAATAATAAAATTAATGGTGCCCGGAAAGCGCCTAATCAAAATCCTCTGTTTCGGCCCTGGCGCACGAACGAAAGAGGCAGCGAGACAGGAAAATCGAGCGATTGACGGTCGAATTTTTTTTCGTGCACGCTCGTCCTTTTTTATTTTTTCAACTTTGTAACATGATATATTTAAACCTATTTAAGCAATCTCATTCAAATAGGTATCATTTTTTCGAAATTTAATAAGCTTTCCAACGCTATAAGGGAAAAGTCTCTACGTTAATTTCTCTCAGAGTTATCTTTATTTTCACGCGAGTATGTTTTTCAATTACTCGCGGTGTAAGCGTTCGCACAATTTCGGACGGTAGTGTATTATTTATCAACTAATTAGTGACAGAATATTGACATTAAAAAAAAAGAAACTGAAAATTATTATTTTTTGTGATTTTAAATAAGTAATTTATTAGTAATTATTTGAATATATTTCTTATTAAATTAATTATGTATTATAAGTGGCGCGCACTGAAGAAAGGGGAAGAAAAAAATTGAAGGTTATGTCTATGATAGGTAAAACTATCATAACCTATAATTGTTTTTTTTTTTTGCTTCTTCTTCAGTGCACGATTACTATTTGTCCATATTGTGTCACTATTACTAATTGCAATTTTTAACGTTACACACTTTTGAAAAATTATATTTTTAAATAAAACGCCCTCGTTGAACGTGTGCAAAAATTTTGCATACAATAAATAAGTATTGGATAATTTAGAAATAAAGGAACAAGGAAGTAGGGGGTAAAAATAAATTAGGCGGAAATCAATTTAGAAATAAGAGATATAAAATAAAAATTGATAATTTGTAGCAGGAAAAAAAAAATTAATTTAAGAAAGTGATAATTACAAAATTTCAAGAATATTATTGCCAATATGAGAATTCAAAACTTTTGAATCGTTCTTATACGATTATTCTGTTGATTCACTTGTAGTTTCTACTTTCTAACATAAATTGCGCCTATATAGAAACTTCAGATCATTAAATTGATATGCTCACCATGATTCACGCGCATTTTAAATTAATCTAAATTTATGCACTCGTGACCTCTACTTTGTTTATTGCAAAAATTGAAAAATTTTTTTTTTTCATCCTCTTTTTGAATTTTTTTTTTTTTCAGTTTTATTTAAGAAGAAAGAAAGAATATGGAATTGAAAACGTAATTTTTTAAATATTTTATATAGGTATTTAAAATAAATAATAATTTTTAATTTTTTCTTTTTAATTAGATTTAATGAAGAATTCAGAGAACTTCGATTGCAAGATCTTCGACCATTGGCAACATTGGGAGTAGGAGGATTTGGAAGAGTGGAATTGGTGCAAATTGCCGGCGATAGTTCAAGATCATTTGCATTGAAACAAATGAAAAAAGCACAAATTGTTGAAACACGACAACAACAACATATTATGTCAGAGAAAAGAATAATGGGCGAAGCTGATTGTGATTTTGTTGTTAAACTCTTTAAAACATTTAAAGATAGAAAATATCTTTATATGCTGATGGAGGCATGTCTTGGTGGTGAATTGTGGACAGTTTTAAGGGATAGAGGTCATTTTGATGATTCCACAACACGATTTTATACTGCCTGCGTTGTTGAAGCATTTGATTATCTTCACTCGAGAAATATCATCTATAGAGATTTAAAACCTGAAAATCTTCTTCTTGATAGTCAAGGGTAATTTATTTTAATTGATTTTTATTGATTTTTATTGATTTATTAATTTTAATTTTCAAAGAAAAAAATTTTTTGCAAAATTTTCTTTTAAAATGTAAATTTAATTTTTGACATTGACCTTCTTGATGCAAATGCAATTTACTAAAGAATATGTAACTCTTAATAGCGAGAAGACTTTCACTTGACCCATCCGACTATTATCTCACTATTTCTTTCTCTTTTTCTCAAGACTTATTTTCTGAAATCTACATACTCACGTGACTACGATACAAAAATCAGGAATTTTCTCCTATTGCACGAGAAGAAGTTTCTCAGGACTTTCTATTACTTTCTGAGATTTATTTTCGAATTCTATTAGATTTTCTTCTTTTTTTTTTTTTTTTAAAAAATAGATCACATCCGCTCTTTTTAATCTATTTGCTAAAGAATTTTTTTTTATTTTACAGATACGTGAAATTGGTGGATTTTGGATTTGCAAAACGATTGGAGAATGGTAGGAAAACATGGACTTTTTGTGGTACACCAGAATATGTTGCACCGGAAGTTATTCTTAATCGAGGTCACGATATTAGTGCTGATTATTGGTCATTGGGCGTTTTAATGTTTGAATTACTCACTGGAACACCACCATTCACAGGCGCCGATCCAATGAAGACGTACAATATTATTCTCAAGGGAATTGATGCCATTGAATTTCCACGAACAATCACGCGAAATGCAACGGTTCTTATCAAAAAACTTTGTCGGTGAGAATAAAAAAAAAAAAAAAAATTTCAAAAAAATTACAATATTTCTATTTGAAAAATATTATTAATTAAAAATTTTGTTTTATCAGGGATAATCCAGCTGAGCGTCTCGGTTATCAAAAGGGTGGAATTAGCGAAATTCAAAAACACAAGTAAGATTTTTAATTTGTATTTTAAAAAAATTTTTAATATCATCATTATTAAGAGAATTATTTCTCAAAATCGTTTTGATAAATTTAAATTAAAATTAATTTAAATTAAATTTAATTAATTCTAAATTTTAATTTTAAAATTTAATTTTAAAATTTTTAATTTCATAAATAATTGAAAAATAAAATATATGTTTTGTGCAATCGTCAGGATTTTAACAAAAGGTATTTATTTGAAATAAAAAAAAAAGAAATATATTGGTTTGAAATAAAATTTGAAAATAATGAAATTCAATTTTTATAGATGGTTCGATGGTTTCAATTGGGAAGGTCTGAGATCGAGAACATTGGAACCGCCAATAATGCCACGAGTTCAAAATCCCATGGACACAGCAAATTTCGATGAATATCCACCAGATTCCGATCCACCACCACCGGACGATATGTCAGGATGGGACAATGATTTCTAGCACATTCGATATGGCCATTCGACAATTTTAAAAAACATTCTCTACGTCCACTAAATAGCGTCGTTTGGCAAAAAAATTTTTTTTTTCTCTCTTTTTATAAAACACTAAATTAAGAATCTTTGCCCTCGATTCTTTCTTCCAATTCAATTTTTTTTTTTAAATAAGGGCTTTTTATTTCATAGAATTTCTATATTTGATCGAAAATTTCAAAAAAATTCCATTACTGTATAATTAAAAAAATTTCTGTATATAGCTAAATTGCGTTAAACGAAAATTCAGAAATAATTTTAGTTTTTAAAAAGAATATTTTAATAGAAAAATGAAATTTCGATTTTATAATTTTTTAAAAAAATTTTAATTCCCATTTTCGAGACATCAAAAATGATTTTTTTTTTTTTTTGCAAAATATTTGTACATTCAAACGTAATTAAATACATATCGAAGATTATAGAGAAAATATATTTTAAATTCGGGCTTGTGATAAAAAAAAAATGAAATGTATAGCCTTCTTAGACTCACGTCTGCGTGAAATTATTTCAAGGCAATGTAAGTGCAAAGAGAATAATTAAATTTTCGAATTTTTCAACTTTGTGAAATTTTATAAAACAAAGTTATTTTTATAAATTAAATACCGTGAATGACTGTATTTTTTTTTTTTTTTTTTTTTTGCAAAAGTTTATAAACTCGGTATTTAAAAAAAATTGTAAAATGGAGGTAATTGAGTCTTGTTAGATTATAGTAGGAAAGCCACATGCCAGTGGGCCAAGTGCCATTATTTACGTTAAAAAAAAAAAAAAAAAAAAGTGCGTATTCGCAAAGAAAGCAGCCAGCTCAAATATATAATTTCTCTTGCCATTCGCACTGTACCTCGATTAAAAAAAAAAAAAGAAAAATGCGATCTCGCCCGATCGTCTATTAATTTTTTTTTCTCTCATGCGCAGATTCGATGAGCTAATTGTTGTTTTATTCGTTTTTATAGTTTATTGACATAATTCTATTTTAATTATTATATTGAGGTCATTTGGCCCGTGTAAATAAACTATACATATTATAAATACATGAAACATTATGTACATCTATATTAAATAAAGTTTTATTAATTCTACAAAAATAATAGAAATTTATTTACACAATTTAATTATTGAAAAAAAGAAATAATTTTTTTACTCATTTCTAATTTAAAATAAATATTTCTAAATAATTTAAAAATCAATTATTTTCAAATAGTTTAATTTTCCCGCGATTGAATAAATGCTGCGCGCTTGCGTGAAGTGAATTTAAATTGACGAATCACAGAGTTACCACGTGATATAAAATTTTTTTTTGTGGGGGAGTTGACATGAGTGAACAAGAGAGAAGCGTAATGGACGCTCGCCATAGTAGTTGTGTATCTCGCATGTAAAAGTATTTTTTCATTAAAATATTCGTGTTATAGATTTATTGTACAACTTGGAAAAGTTATTCTTAGTTTAATAAATAAAATTCAGTGATTGAAAATTATTAATAAACTTTGAAATATATCAAGACGGACGTGGAAGAATAAAATTGGCCGGTGTGGAGAAAAAATTCCGGCTGTTGATTTTCTTTTTTTTTTTTTTGTTCTGTGGCACACATAATTATCGGTAAGTCTTTTTATTGTATTTTATTGTCTTTTTTTATTTGTTAATTATTTACTAATTCTTTTCTTCTTTTCTTTGTTATTATTAAATGTCGCTTTCTTAAAATGATCGCTCACATTTTTTTTTCACTGTAAGAATTTTTTTTGTTACATTTTATAAAGAATTTAGATCTGAATTTGTTTTTATAAATCAAGAAAATTATTTACATTTTTCTGAAATTTGTAGATTCGTTTTTTTCTTTTGTTTTATAAGAAAAATTTAACACGTGGTCGAGAAAAATTGCATGGAATTTAAATATACTTTACGTAATTTATTTTCTTATTGCGATTTAGTTTTTTTTTGTTGTACTTTTTGTAATTGATGCAGGTCATTTATATTTTGAATTATTATCAGATAAATTTTTTACTATTATATATATTTGAAAATTAAAATAGAAAACTTTTATGTATAATTTGCGACATAACCTCAAAAATACAGTTTTGTGTTCTCTCTTTCCTACTATTATTTTATTATTAAAAAAAGGTTAGAAGTTCAAAAAAAAATAATATTATTAAGATTTAAAATTTACATCATTGTAAAAATAATTAAATTATTATAAAATTTCGTTTTGTTTTTATTAATCATAAAATTGAGGTTATTTGAAAATAATTATAAAGAAATACATGAGTTTCTAAATTATTATTATTGTGGTTATTATCACTATATATGTATAAAGTATTCATTCTCGTAGAAGAGAAGGAGAGGTGACTGAATATAAACATTCTCGCCTGCTTTAGATTAAATGCCGGAAGAGAATATTACGATAAGAGAAATATACAATTGGCGAATGTTTACCAAAAGACTATTAATTCGGGACAATAAAAGCAATAGAAAATTTATTGGGAAATTCTACAATATTCTCACAATAGATTAAAATTTCCAGTTATCGTATAATTTTCTTTTTTCTCCCTTATTTATTTTGAAAATTTCCCCTTTTTTTCCCACACTAAAAATTTTTGTTTATATATTTCAACAGTATATTTAAACTAAAAGAAATTTTAAAACATTTTTAATATACAGATTTTTTATTTTTGAAAACCAGATAAAAAAAAAATTTAATTTTTAGTGTAAAATAAATTTACATACAAAAATTGTGATTAAATAAAAAAATTAAAATAATTAAAGTTCACGTTGAAATTAACTCGACTTTTATTTGTCAAGATAAATGTGCTTTCTTGAGAAGCTGACTAAGTGAAAAATATTTCCGAGGTCACTTGATAAAAGTTCTAAGCTTATTTTTTTTAGTCACTTTTAAAACTGTGTATGATTGCATTTTTTTTAAATTGATTTTTTTAAATAAATTAATTAATTTTCTATTGAAAATTTTTTTTAAATTGTACAAGAAAATTATTTTTTAATTGAATTTATTTACTTTTCTTTTTGTATTAGTTTTTAATTTAGAATTAATTTATTTACTTTTTTTTGTATTTGTTTTTAATTTAGAATTAATTTATTTACTCTTTGTATTTGTTTTTAATTTAGAATTAATTTATTTACTCTTTTGTATTAGTTTTTAATTTAGAATTGATTTTTTTCTGTGATTAAAAAATTATTTGGAAAAAATATGAAAATTGTTTTTTTGACAATGATTTTTTTTTTTGAGGGAGTAGAAGATGGAGGGAACTGGTAGAGGGAGATCAAATCTCCTGGATCGATTAAGACAGCAACAGCAAGAACTTAAAGCAAGACAACTTGCTCAGCAAGATGATAAACCTGAGGAGCCGCAACGAGTTCCAGAAGTTGCTTCAATTCCAACTATTGGACGTGGACGTGGTATTGCTGCTCTTCTTGCTTCTGCTGAAGCTTCTAAAACAGCAGGACAAGAATCAGCATCACCTCCAACTCTGAATATTGGCCGTGGTCGTGCTGTTTTTAAACCAGAATTATCACCCCCCGAATCTGTAGCACCATCCTCCATTACTTCAATAATTGGTCGTGGAAGAGGAATCGCTCCAACGATATCAGTAAAGTACGTAAAAAAAAAAAAAAAAAATTTATAATCCTTGTGAAATTTATTGATCAATTTTATTTCTAGATCAACAACAACAACCACAACTTCATCAGGTTCCACTCCAACAACTTCAACATCACGTGATGTGGCTGGTGTTCTTGCGCCATTGGAGTCGTTAAGTCTCGCCGAAACAAAATCCTCTGAATTGGATATTATTTCCAAACAAGGAGAAAGCGGAAAATCGTAATATTTTAAAAATATATTCATCAATTTCAAAAAAAAAAAATTTATTTATTTATTTTTCTTTTAATTTTCAGAATTGAATTGACGTCTAATTACATTAATTTGAGTATAGAACCGGGAAAGGAATTAAATATGTACGAGGTTAAATTTAACCCCGACATAGATTCGCGTCCATTGCGAAATCGATTACTCAATCAGCATATTGATTTTATTGGAAAAACAAAAAATTTTGATGGGGCCTTGTTGTATTTGCCGAAAAAATTAGATAAAGAAGTATGAATTAATTTTTTTCCTCTCTGTTAAATATGATTTTTTTTTCTTTTCTTTAAAATTAAACTTTTTCAGGTAACAATATTGGAGTCTGTTCATCCTGCTGATGAAACAAAAATAATTAAATTACAAATAATATTCAAAAAAACCCAAAGAATGAGCGAGAATGTTACATTCTTTAATATTTTAATTAATCGCGTAATGAAAGCATTACAATTGGTTAAAGTTGGTCGTAAAACATATAATCCAGCTTGTGCACATGAAGTGCAACAACATCGATTGGAAATTTGGCCAGGCTATGTTACGGCAGTTAATGAATATGAGGGAGGTTTAAAATTGTGCATGGATTCAAGTCATCGTGTTATGCGAACTGATACTGTTCGCGATTTAATGTAAATATTAAATATTTTAACATTAAATAATTCATTATATTTAATAATAATTTTTTTTTTTACAGGAAAGATATTCATAGAAAGAATCCACAAAATTTTAAGGATATGGTCACTAATGAATTACTTGGTACTTCAGTGTTGACGAGATATAATAATGAAACATATAGAATAGACGATATTGCTTGGGATAAATCGCCGAAATTTAGTTTCAATAGAAAAGGACAGGATATTACTCTTATTGATTATTATAAAACACAATGGAATCTAACGATTCAGGATAAAGATCAACCGTTATTAGTGAATCGATCAAAAGAACGAACTTCCGATGGACAGGTAAATTTTTAATTTCCTTTTTTTTTGAAAACTAAATAAATAGTTATTTGATTTATTGAAATTAATTTTTAAACTAGACTGTGGAGAGAATGCTTCTTTTGATTCCGGAATTTTGCTATTTAACGGGAATTACGGATGCAATGAGAAGTGATTTTCGAATTATGAAGGATATCCAACAAGTGACGGGTGTTAATCCAAGTGGACGACGTGATGTTATAAGAAAATTTGTAAAAAAAGTTAAAGAAACGGACGTTACAAGAGAATTGTTAAACGGTTGGGGTTTACAATTGGAAAATGATACAATTAGAATAACCGGAAGAGTATTAGATCCAGAATTATTGATTTTTGGAAATAATAAAACATTGTCGGCTGGACCAAAAGCTAATTGGCCTGGAGCGACAAGAATGCCTGTTTTACGCACTGTTAGTATTGACAGAAAATTTGTATTTTTTAAAAATTGATAAAATTACAATTTTGGAAATAATTGAATTTTTTTCATTTTAGCCACATTTGGAATCTTGGTATCTATTGTACGATAAAAAAGACGATAGAAGGGCCAAAGATTTTGTGCAAACATTAAAATTCGTTGGTAAATCGGTTGAAATGAAAATAATGGAACCGCAAATGATCGCTTTGCAAAACGATCGTACGGAGAGTTTTTTGGGAAAATTGAAAGAAATAATTAGGCCAAATATTGACATGGTTGTAATGATTTTTCAAGCTCAACGACAGGATCGTTATTCGGCAGTAAAAAAGTAATTTTCTTTTAAATTAAATTTTATTTTATTTGTTAATTAAAATTTCCTTTTTTTTTATCAGTTGATCGAACATTGTGATAAATTAACATTTATTTTTAGGCTATGCTGTGTGGATATGCCGGTTCCTTCACAGGTGATTCTATCAAAAACAATTGGAATGGATCCGAAGAAAACAAAAAGTGCAGTGGAAAAAATAGCTTTGCAAATGAACTGTAAACTTGGAGGTGCTCTCTGGGCATTGAAGATTCCATTTGTTAGTATTTTTTCCATAAGAAAAATTTCTTTTTTATCTTAAATTGAAATTTTTAAAAACAAGTTTATTGTTTTTTTTTAGGATAAAGTTATGATATGTGGAGTCGATGTCTATCATGCTGGTCCTGGAAAAGTGACACATGGAAGTGCAGCCGGTTTTGTAGCAAGTATGGACAAGGGATTGACATCATGGTACTCGAAAATTTGTATTCAGACAAGAAATCAAGAACTTGTTGATTTGCTGAAAATTTGTTTGATTTCGGCTATTAAAGCTTATGAACAGGTAAAAATAATTTCAAAAGTACATATTATTTTTAAATTGATCAAAATTCTATAGTTGTCTTTTTTTTTTTTTTTTGCAGAAAAATGGATGTTATCCAGACAGAATTTTCTTATATCGCGACGGAGTAGGCGATGGCCAATTAGAAGTTGTTACCAAGTACGAAGTAAAACAATTGATTTCGGCTTTTTCGCTCGTTGACGAAACCTATTCTCCAAAATTGACGATTATAATTGTTCAAAAACGAATCAATACAAGAATTTTAGCTGTACAAGTAAGTATATCAATTTAAAAAAAAATTTAATTTAAGTGTTGCAAAAAACAAAAACACAAATCTATTTTATTTTGGATCCCAAAGAATAGGGAAAATTAAATTAGTCTACGGAATCTGGAATTTAAAATTACATTTTCCATAAAATATTTATTTTATTTTAGAATAGAGATCTTGACAATCCACCACCAGGAACAATTGTTGATAGCGATGTTACACGAAGAAATCATTATGATTTCTTTTTGGTTTCTCAACATGTTGGCCGAGGCACTGTTTCACCAACACATTATATTGTCATTCATGACAGTTCAAATATGAAGACTGACCACCTTCAAAGATTGACATACAAATTATGTCATCTTTATTATAATTGGTGTGGTACAGTAAGAGTACCAGCGCCATGTATGTACGCTCATAAATTAGCGTATCTCGTTGGCCAAAGTATTCAAATGGAGCCAAATGAAAAATTGGCTCATCATTTGTATTATCTCTAAAATAACGAAAGTTTTGTTACTGTTTGTTTCTTTTTATTTCAAAAAAAAAAAAAAATTTAAGGCCAATAAGATCTTAATTTTTTTTTTTTAAATAAAACTTCCGATTAACGCGTTATAGAAGTTTCTAGAATAAATAAATTCTCCATGAGAAATTATTTGGGAAATGGAAGCCAAAGAATATTTTCCATTAAGGGGACATTCATAAATATATGTGATAATTTTTTTTTTTAATTAATATGCAAAAATTTGACTGTTCGATGTTGTTTAATATAGTTTATGAATGTTTTCATTTTTTTTTCCCATGCTCAGTATTTATTAAATTATATTTATTGTTTCTCATCGAGATTAATTGCGTTTTTTTCGTGTAAAAAACGCGTGATAGTACAATTTATCGTCTAGAAATTCGTTTTTTTTTTTACGTAAAGAAACGTATAATTTTTTTTTCCAATAAATTTGGAAGTATTTTTTTTAAATAAAAATTTTTCTTTGCGTAAAAAAAATTTGTTTTCGCGAACAAAATATTTTAAAGTTTCCATTTTTCTATGTTTTCGACATCGTTACTTTTTCTCTGTCTCGTAACACTTTCAAAATTAAAAATATAATGTAAATGAACACGTATAAAAGAACTTAAATGACGATTTAAAATTTGTGACTATTGAAAACAAAAGAAAAACTATTGAATATTCCATTTAGTTTATGAAAATATATTTGTTAAAAAATATAGATATTTATAAAACTAACTTTAGTGTTTAAGTTACAATTTAAAAAAGTAGTATTAATAAAAAAAAAAAAACAGTGTTCAATACATTTTGTAATTATATAAGTTGTAATGTACAGGGAAAAAAAAATTTGTTTGATTCAAATAATCGGTTACTTAAGTAAATATTTATTTGTATCAAATTATTATTATTTTAGTTAATTAAATGTTATTTGTTTTAAATACAATAATTATGGGTTTCAATTTATTCGAATGAAATAAAAATTATTTGGTTTAAAAAAATATTTATTTTTGATATTGAAAGTAAATGATTATTTTGAATCAATTAAACTCATTTTTTCAATGTAGCATTATTCAATTTTTTATTATTTACGAAATATATATATATATATATATCTGTTTGCTACGAGACTAGTATAAGTTAATATGATAGAAATTTAAATACTTGAAATAATATTTTTTTTTATTTTTATACTTAAAAATTGTGTAAATAAAAAATGCTACCAAAAATTCGTGTTTTTATTCGAAATATATTTCGGTTTTACATTTAATGGGGGTCATTAGTCATTTTACATGACTCAATAATAATGTTAGCTTATTATAAATGGTAAAGATTAAATTTACCGCCAAATAGCACTGAATTAGTTGATCAATGAGAATCGTGTTTACATTATAAGGAACAAAGTGTAGTAATTTGATTGGTGTAAAGTTTGCCGGGCTTTTTTGGTAGTATTGAATAATATTCAAAAATTCCCGCGACTAATGAACCAATAGTTTGGCTCTATGTTTCGCGCAGTCGCAATGCGTTTTCTCGCAAGAAAATCATGTTTTTCACGCCTGCGCAAATCTTGTTTACAACTAGCGAGTTTAACCATACACATGACCTTTCCAAGATGGACGCAAGTGCCTGTTTTATTGCCTAACGTCTGAGTTGGATAAAAAAAAAAAAAAATTCGGTTCTTTCATCTCACGCTCGTGACATTCCCATCGTGTTGAAGAGTTTCTCATTTGTGTTGTGAAATTCCGCCGGAAGAGTCGTTGGAAGTTGACGAGAATTGTGTTTATGTGTTTGTGTTAAACGCGATTAATCTTTGGAAATTATTTTGTGCAACGAACCATCCACCTCGAGGCAGATGTAAATGTCGCGCATATTTCGTTCCATCTCCGCAGTGCAAAACGCGGCACCGGACCGGGCAACCTGATGGTGGTGGAAGGGGGAGGTTATGTTTACATCCTGGATTTTCACAAGAGAAGAGACATTGTTCAATAATTGGTGTATGAGTGAAAAGAGCAAGAAAAAAAAAACAAGTGTGGTAAGCGTGTTCTTTTTTTTTGTCCCCTTAACTACCATTGCGCATGAAAAATATTTTTGCCCTTGGCAATAGCCTATTTATCCGTTGTAGGCCGCTGTTGTACGAGCCAGGGCGCGATATCTTAAGTGTGTATATGTTTGTAAATGTGTATATGCGTCTCTTTTAGTAAGGAATGAGACGTCGCGACGACCAGCGCACCGCGAATTGCGTTCGTTCAAGTAAACAGGTGTACAATAATACGCACTAAAGTGCGACGTACGTCGCCTCGTGGCGATCCAGTGTTTCCTTCACTGTGCTCCATAATCGTTGGGAGAGAATAACAACTATACTCTAGAAAAGAAAAACATTTTTTCTAATTCAAAAAAAAGCAATACTTATTGGATCTATTGATGACGATTTTTTTTTTTTTTCTTTAAAAGGAAATTGAGATCGTCTTTTTCCTGTTCATGAAAGAACGTTTGTGTTGACTTTATCCGTGACCTGAAAAAAAAAAATCACCTGCAATCGATTTTTAAAATTGGTGTTTCTGAAAAAAATATTGTATTTTTTATTATCGACATCCGTGAAATTTTTCGTTTTTTTTGGAATAGAGAGTCGTAGACTGGCGTCGGTCAAAAGTGACGACGGGAGAGGAAAAAAATCGACGCAAAGCGATTTTTAGGCGTTCCCTAACCTCCGAAACGGGAGCATTTGATTTCGATCGGGGCAGTAAACTCGTGTTTGGTGGGGTGGAGGAGGGGGTGAGACGCCCTTGATGCAACGCGCTGAGTGATTATGCACCCGTGGTGGCGTGCGTGAGTACGAGTGCTTATTTACTTTTTACCCCCCTTTAACACACGACACGTGTGTGTCTCTGCAGCAGCAGCCCTCGGCATCGCCCTTCGCTGGCTGTGCGCGGACAACGTTACTTATATATGTCGCTGCCTCTTTGGCGTTTCTAGGAAGAAGAGCCGTCCCGAATGGAACGCGCGGCCTGCTCTGATCGTCCATGTTTACTTTTCCTCGGGGGAACGAACGCACAGGTATATAGTGTAGTAGAATGAATGTATGTGTGTTGTTGGTTGAGGTTTCATTGATAGGCCTTAACGGAAGTTTCAAGTCCGGATTCTTCTGCGGAATGTGTCCTCTTTTCCAATATCATTTCCGAGATTCGACATTTTTCTTGCAGTCTCTCTTTTTTTTTTTTTTTGTTGCTCCAATTGATTTTCTATAGATTAGATTAGCAGTGTTTATATGTGATTCCACCCTAAATATATATACATATACAGGATTTATCATTTTTGATTTTGCAGATGGTTATGATATGTAATGAAATGTATGGAGGTGCGTTTTGTCAATATTTTGATTGTCGAGAAATGATAAGTGGTCGGATTTCATTAATGACTTGTATTTTTTGTTTTCATCTAAAGTGAATGACGAAATATTCTCAAGTGTGTCAATTACCATCATATGGGTTATTCTAAAAATACTAATTTTTTAATTGTCCAGTAAATAGTGATATAAACAAAATTACACAACCTTTTTTTTTTACTTTACGTATTGAAAAGGTGATTTGTTTATTTCAACACTTTCTCCTCAGTCTCAAATAGACCGTAAATGGGTGACAGATGAAAGTTTGACAATATAGTATATATATAGCTACTATTATTACTAGTGCTGCTGCTACTACTTTTACTACAATAACAACAACTATTACTACTTAGAATGATTACTTACTGAAACTAATTGATAATAACTTCAAAAAAAAAAAATTTTTTTTAGATCTATTAGTGGTGCAACTACTGGGGTAAAAATATTTGTATTAATGAACGCAGATGATTTAGTCTTAATTGCAGAAGAAGTGGCAGAATTACTTAAGATGTTAAAGACACTTGAAAATTGGATAAAAAGAAATAAAATGGAAGTTAACATTGAAAAAACAAAGGTAATGGCTTTTAAAAACGGGGGAAGAAACAAAAAAGAAAAAACAATATGGAAATATGGGCAAACTGAATTAGAAGAAGTGAAAGAATTCAACTACTTAGGAATTTGGTTTATACAAGTCGAAACAATTACAATACTCAAATCAGAAAATTTGCTGGGAAAGTACAAAAATTAATCAACAAGGCATGGAGAAGAAGCGAAAAGAGCGTCAATAAACGAATTAAATAAAAAATTATTTCTAATGGATATGACTGTCAATGCAGGGGCATTATATGGGGGTGGCAAAAAAAATAAAAAATTGAACGAGTACAGGCAAAATTCATCAAAGCAAGCATGAGTTTACCAAAGAATATTTCGGACTACATTTGGAAAATGGAAACAGGAAGAAGAGAAATAGAAATTAAGGCTTGTAGAACGAGTATAAATTTCATAATAAAAAATTTCAAAATTAGACGAAGATAGATGGACATACAAATGTTTAAGGGAAGAAGTAAGAGGAATCAAAAACGGGAATCCAACGAATTAGGAAAAAAAGATGGAAGGGACTCTAAAAGAATTGGGAGATGGACGAATAATAAACATGATTTGGGACAAAAAATCTAAAGTTAACATGTTACTGAGAGCCAAGGAATTAGAAGAACAAGGCATACAAAATTATTAGGCAAAAATAGATAAATCCAGTTATTGCAACTATTATAGAGAGATTTAAAAAAGCAAAGGATTGAAGGAATATTGGAACAAAAAGGATGTGAAGGAATGGCAAAAGATAATTTGGTACACGTACTGAGTTGTGTAAAATTTTTTGGAAAAAATGAGCAACGAGGCAAGGGATCTATTGCAAAAATGGAGAAATGGCATTGAGGAAGAAGAATGGAGAAAAAGAATTGTAACAAAGTTAAACCAAAAAATAGACATTGATATTCGTAAAGTTTTCAATGAAAATTGTCTTATTTTAGAAATACAAGAAATAAAGTGTAAATAGTTTAATATATGGCTGTGGCTAGACAAGAAACAAATTTTGCATTGTCAAAAGAAATAAAAATTCTATTCTATATGAATTTTAAACACTTGATACATTAGGATCAATAGAATTACTTTCCTATATAGGGATTTATGTCCATCTCTATGAAATACAATATCAGAAAACAATTACAATACCTAAAAACAATAATAATAATAATAATAATAATAAATCATAGTACAGAGTTTTTCTTTTAATATAAACGTATATAAAAGAAACATTTTCAATTAGAAGTGAAATATATTTATTTTCTGGATAAAACCAAATATTTATTTAATAATAGTCAAGTAATAAATTATCTAAATCAAATAAATTTTTTTCAGTGACTAGAAAATACCCACGTGGCAATCCCACGTGAGATTTATGCAGGAAATCCATGTGGATTCTTAAATAAAATTTTGTATATTCGTATAATACGAATTATTTTAGGAATCCACAAGGATATTTTTATGCATTCATCCTAAATAAATTTTGAAATTTTTTTCCTCTCATTAAATAATTTATCTTGGAAAATAATTCAAAAGAACCTAATGAGAAAAACATGATCTACAGAAGAGAATAGTACACACATTTAATGGAAAATTTCGAAAAAAATCAAATTGAGAAAAGAAGATTTAGAAATTATTATTATTATTATTATTAATTATTAGATAACTTTGGATCTTTAAATAGTAAAGTAAAAAATTTTAGTCTCAGTTCTAAATTGCTTGGTGAAATATTTAAATTTAGATAATTTTAAATCGTTTATTATTTTTTTTTTTTTAAATGTAAAATGAAACTTTTTAAAAAAGGAAATATGTTATTTCAAATTATTTAAATTTCATGTTAATTTTGATTAGTTTTACTTAACTAAAGTATTATCATTTTATGATAAAGAATCGAATGTGTTTGTTGTGCATAGTAATGTGACGTAATTGTGTAATTTTCTTAATAATAAATGTACAACTTTTCTTAAAAAAAAAAAAAAAATTTTATAATCACGATAAAAAGTTTCAATTACAATTAATAATAAAAATAATAATACATTAACATTTATTTTTTATTAATTCGTTATTTATCGTTATCTTGATATTATTATCATTATTTTTATTATTTTAGTTGTGCTTGTTTTAAATTATATGATCCAGTCAGAAAATTATATGCATAGACATTGTAAGTTCATAATTTTTATCATTCTTTAATGAGAATTTAATAACTCTAATGATAATAATAGATGGAATTGTAATTGCTTTTGAAAAATAATTCAAAGAAATCATTTAAACGCAGTATGATTTTAACCTTCATATATTAACAGTATGTATGAATGTTTCCAATTCTCACTGTTTTTTTCTCCTTTTTTTTTTTTTTTGTTCTGAGATAATGTTCACTTTATCACAATTTTTTTTTTTTTTTACAATAAACGTAACAATATTTTTGTTTATAGTCATTTTTTATATGACAAAAATATTTTGATTAGACAAATTAATATATGGGTTTGATTTTTTTAGCCCATAAAAAATTTCATTTAGTTAATATGTTTGTTGTGAATGAATAATTGAAGGCGATAATGATCATGATAGTGGAAAGAGGGAAACAAGTTGTCTTCTATATGTATTTCATTTGATGATTAATTTACTCTAAATTAGGTTTTTAAACTTTTTTTTTTCTTGATTAAATATTTTAGAAATTGCTTTGGGAAACTTTAAACGATAATTAAATAAAAAAATATTTTTGTGCTTGTTAATTCAATTTCGCGCCTTGAGTCATAATTTGATTTTATCTCCGTTTATAAATCATGAGATTGTTTACAACGAAATAAATTGTTTTTCTATTTTTTTCAAAACGTTTTAGAATTTTATTGCAAATTATTATAGAAATATTATTATTATTAATAAAGTGGAATGAAATAGAAAAAAAAATTTTTTGAATATTTTTTTTGTTTCAAAAGAATTTTCAAATTGCTTTCTCTTTTCTAACATTAGATTCTGTTTCCTGTTTCTCAAAATGCCTGCGGCTTTGGAAATCACATTCTGATCTCATAGCTTGCTCTCAAACTCTCAATAGTTTGAAAATATTTTAATTAACTCATGAATAATGAATATTAACAGAACTTTCAATATATATACTGCATCTCTAAACTTATTTACTTGACAATATTCTAATAAAGTCGAATATTTCTTTCTATAAAAGAACTTTAGATGAATCGAAAATAGTCAAGTCAAAAAAATGTCATATTTTGAAACATTCCCTAATTTCTATTTTAAATTATTTCTTTCTTTCTTTCAAAAAAAAAAAGGTTTCTGAAAATAAATGAAAAATAATAATTTTTCTTTTTTAGGGTGTCTAGACAACGACGAAGATTTTAAACAATTTTCATCACGTTTTCGTCATCGTTCACAATCGACACTATTCGACTCCGACGTGGGTCGAGTTTACGCGGAAGGACGAATGTGACGCGTTTCACCAGTGAAGTACCGTGTAAATGGTGCTTCTCATCATATGGAAATCATTGTCGTGGGGTGTTTACAAAAAAAACGGGTTTCTTAAGCTCGACGACAACAACAATGTCATCAAGCCGAATCCTGGTACCACCATCGACAGGCAATGTCATACGTTCGGGACATTTAAGAAAATTAAAAACATTGAAAAAAAAATATTTTGTTCTTCGCGAAGAAGCACCCGGATGTCCTGCATGCCTCGAATATTATGATAGCAAGAAAAAATTTGAAAATCGCCAACCACCAAAACGACAAATATCACTTCATAGTTGTTTCAATATTAATAAACGAGGTGATATTAAACAAAAAAATGTCATTGCCCTTTATACAAAGGACGAATGCTTTTGCTTGGTCCTTGACTCAGAAAAAGATCTTGGCGATTGGCTTAATTCCATGTTGTTACTTCAAAATGGAGGACAACCCGATGGCGAACAACCACGTCCTACTTTTGGTAATAATTTTTTTTTTTTTTTAAATTTAGTATTTGATAAATGAAATTTGGTTGAAATAAATAAATCTTATTTTGGTTCAAGATTTAAATTATTGAAAATAGATTACAAATATTAATGTCTAGTGAAGAATAAAACTGGTTGAATAAAATTTAAAAGCAGACCCAGTTCTAAGGAGTGTGTAGTATACCTGCATGACATTATAAGTCTCTGCTGGTTAAATTGTTCGTAATAAACTAGAATTATTTTCTGTTCTCAGTTGGTTAGTCTCAAGTACAGGAAACGGCAGTACAATGTATAATAATGATATTAAAGCATTCATTACAAAAATGAAATATGATGACAACCAAATTATTGTACTGTCACAGTGCCTTTTGACTTCTAAAGCAGTTTTTTTCACTTTAACTCTTTTCTGTCGGAGTAGAAATTCAAAAAAAAAAAAAAAAATTCGATTGTACACTTGGATTAAAAATTATTAATAAAAAATTTCCATTTAAGGGGACTTTCTGGTTTAGAATTGACAAAAAAGTACACGTTTTAAAATTTTTGTTGTAAGAAAAGTATTAAATAAATTGCAAATTTTTTTTTTTTTTGATATTATTGCACATTACATAGAGAAAATTAAAAAAAATATTTTTGAGTGTATTTAGCCCTTTTTTTGGTACAGGTGATAGCGGACAACCTGTAATATATAATTTCAAACGCGAATCTCTTCATAGGGGTTTATTCTAGACAATGAACCTAAAAAACGATTTTTTAGGTTTTTTTTTATATTTTTTATGAACATTTTTCTTAAAAATTTGAAAAAAAAACAGTGTTTTTGGGGCAATTACCCCCTTATAAAATAACAGGGGGTAGAAAATTTTTTTTTCAAAGGTTTATTCTTTAGGTTTTTTAACTAAGGAATCGAATGGTTTTTATTTTTTTTAAATCGGTTCAGTTTTCGAGAAAAGCCGTGCACCAGTTTGAAAAATATTTGTTTTCGAGAAAAACGCGTTTAAACTTTTCATAACATAATACATTGAGCCAGGACTATCAAACAATTTTTAATTACAATTTTTGTTTTTTTACATAATTTAAAAAAAAAACGTTTTGGGACAGTAATTTTATGATACTAAGGAACATTTTTTAAAAAAATGTATTTTTTTGGAATTCTAAACCAGAAAGTCCTCTTAATTAGAAAAAGTCGTTAAAGAAATTTTTTTCTATTTTATCTGTTTACAATTTAATAAATAATAATAATTTTCAACTTAGTTTAAAAATCTACCATTTTTTTTTTAATCAATAGAGATTGAAATTAATCTTTTTGTTTTTCTTGATTTTTTTTTTCATTGTAGAGCACGTGTGGCAAGTAAATATGCAGAAAAAAGGACTAGGTGAGCGTAAAAACATCCAAGGATCTTACAGATTATGTCTCACCGATTCTGCTGTGACTTTCTACAAAGTTGGAACGAATAATAAGTCTGATTTTATCGAATTTCCAGTAAGTTTATTCTTTTTATTACAAATATTACATTAAAATTAATTTTTCATTTAATAAAATATTTTTAATCTTTCAGAAATGTGGTAATTATTTGCAAAAAAATTTGAATACTGCAAATTATTTTTGCAAAAAATTTTTATTTACACTTTATAACAAGAAAATTTGAAATTTCTTTTTTCGAGAAACATTTAAAAAATTTTTTTTTTTTGTTTTATGTAGTACTAAATTAGTATAGTGAGCACAATTTTTCTCTGGTTCAGTTTTACTAACCAATTTTATATTTAAAATGAAAGAAAAATCCTGGTGATATTGCTTTTGACACTGGATTCAGAAGAAAAAAAATTCCAAGAAGTGAAAAATCTCAATGGTTCGCTTCTATTTTATTTTCTCTGCTTTTTTTTTAATTTTCATCTCTTATCTTTCAAATACAATTCTTTTTGGATTCCCCGTAATCTCTGTTAAATCTCACATGTAGATTAGATCAAGTTCACTGAAATCAAAATGAAATCAAATTCATGTGAAATTCTTAAACAATGCATTGAAATCTAATTATTTTTTGTTTAAATATAATTTTATTTATCTTCTGTAACTAAAACTATAATTTCTCATATTTTAATTATATACCTTTTTTTTTGTTACAAAAATTCATTTAATAGAAAAATTTGGTTTTTTTTTCTATTTTACCGCTTGTAATTTATTTTTTGAGTTGTGAAAAATATCAATGGTTCGCTTCTCAAATTTTACTAAAATTAGAAATTTATTTTCAAAAAATAAAAGAAGTTAAAAATTTTTTTTTAAATATTTCATAAAAAAAAAAAATTGCATTATAGCTGGTGTCGATAAGACGTTGTGGATTTATGGAGAGGATCTTCTATATGGAAATGGGAAGATCGGCCGTGACGGGTGGTGGTGAATTTTGGATGGAGGCCGAGGATAACAATATCGCTCAAAATATGCACGCTGCTATATTAAATGCCATGACCAATTCAAATACAAATCGAGATGAAGTTGTACCACGTCAAAGGATGCGAAGTTCATCGGCGAATGAGGCTAGTAAACCAATATCCGTTTTACCCCGTCGACATACGGGGCAAAAGCTCCTTGGCTTCTCACCTCTTGGTAAGTTACTTGTTTCTTTACATTAAAAAAAAAAAAATAGAATTTAATATGTTTTTCTCGCTTCCCATTTAAAAAATATTTTTTTTTGTGAAAAAAATGCCCTTTTTTTTTATTTAATTTTTTTTCCGTTACTACATTTGAGAGTTGTTGTGAATTTTGTATATATATATATATATAAAAACACCGCGGGCGATGATTCTCATTCAACTGATTCACTGGTAAACAATGTGCAACATTCTTGCGCGACAAACATTGCTGACTCACGCAATTCAAGTGCAATTAGCTATTAAGTTGTTTGTACGCCGTATTAGGAAACAGACTGATAATATACTTACACAGAAATTATTCATTTTCATATATTGAATGAAGGTAAAAATCATTCTTGCAAAGGCATTTCCCTTTCTTTTAACATTAATAAAAAAGAAAACAATTTTTTCTCACCTTTTTTTTTTCTAATTTACATTTTTTATTTTATTAAATGAATAACTTACTTTTATTTTTTATTATTAAATTAGATCAAGTTTAATAAGTTCATTAGAATTAATTTATTAAGCAAATGTTTAATTAATTTTCTTCCACAAACAAGTCCATTTGGTAATAAATTTTTTTTTTAGTTATTAGGTTTATTCAGTTAGAAGAGGGATTTATCTGATGAAATAGTTTTTTTTTTTGTTTTTCTACTTTGTTGACTCTTTTTTTTTTGCTTTATGTATAGAAGTTTTCAATTTACATAATTTTTCTAATTTATTGCGATTTTTTTCTATTTTTAGAAATTTGTTTTTTAAATTTATGTTTTCACTATATTTTGATTTATAGTTATTTTTATTTAGGAATTTTTTTTTTTTGAATTATTTAAATTTATGGATAATTTTGAATTTAAAGAACTGTTTTGACTCTAATAGAAATTAAAATTTTTTTGTATAATTTTATTCTTAGTTTTTGACGATATTTAAATGGAGGAAAAAAATTAGTTTATTTTATTTTGAATGTTGTGTTTTTTTTGAAGAAATTAATTTTCCTCAAAGAACTTTGCTTTATATAATGCCTTTATTTTATTTTTTTTTTAATTTTTTCACAATAATTGAATATTTATTTGTGAGAAATTATTTATATAGGTATATTTAATTTAGCGCAAACGTGTGAGATTTGAACTTTGATTGTAACCTATCGATGTTTATAATCAGACGTAATTAACTGTTTTACCGGTAATCTAATTTTTCTTTGTGATTTTGGCTTTTGATTAACGATCAAATTTGTTTTCATTCCAAGTAATTATTATTATTATTATTTTTTCGTTAAAATTTCGAAAATTGTAGATAATATTTAATAATATAAATAAAATGGGAATAATATAATTGTAGTATTTTAGAAAAAGGGAAAAATTGAATTAAAAAAAAAAAAGCAGAAAAAGAGAGAGAGATGGAGTTCGTAATGAAACGCGAAGAGGCAGAAGATCCGTTTTATACTTGCTTTAGTTTAGACCTTTAGAGTAATACACGTGGGTTATGGGCTTTGCAGAGGAACAGAGGACGCAAAAGGAGCAGGTGGACTCGTTGCAACAGCAGAATGCCACTGTCTCTGCCCCTTCACAGTGTTGTCAATCACAGAGCACATCCTCTTCCAATACACTCACGGGTCTGTTCTCTGTTCACAGTAGTTGTACGCTTTTTTTTTTATGCCTCTATTCCATAGCAAATGAAATTCGCAAATAAGCACAAAAATTCCATTAAAAATTGTTTAAGAGAAAAATTTTCAATTATTCAATTTTATAAATTAAATAAAAAATATAATATATAGCACAGAATAAAAATTTTTCTCATTCAGGGAAATTATCGTTTTTCAATGGTCCCACATAATTTCTCAACAAAAAAAATTCTTTTTCTATATAGTCATTAATAATATGCAGGTCGACTATATTTCTCGGCTCTTTATTATAAAATGATTCTAGGAAGATAAAAATTCTTTTATAAAATAGAATTCTCAAAGTTACAGAATCACATTTTTGATATTTTGAACATTTTTTTTTCTCATTTAACTTCATAATTATACAATTTGAAAAATACACAATTCTTTTGTTAATATATAGTTTTCTTCGTAAACTAGTTCTCAAAAATAAATATTTGATTTAGTTGATAAGAAAATACTTTTTTAAAAATAGTTGCACAGCTTTTTTTTTTGTTAAATTAATTTAGTTTTCTCTTTTTACAATCTTATATAAAAAATAGTAATTAAATTGTTTAAATCCTCTATTTCAAAATGGAATTATTATTTTTTATTTTCTGTTAATTTTACTACAGAGAATTATACGAGATAAAGAAAAAAAAAATGTTAAAGATTTGAAAACATTTTTGTTTTTTTTTTTAAAGAGTGCAAGTTAATAAAATAAAAGAATTGAAAAAAATTGCTTTTGACGAATATTAAAGGTTCATAAAATAACCTTAACGTAAACCACAAAATATAATTTAAATTTTTATAACCTCTTAAAAAGTTTGTAATAAAATTTTTTGTATAGATAGTAAAAATTAAAAAAGTATTTAAAATAATTAATAAACAATGAAATTTTCTTTCAAAGTATAGATAAATATTTTTTGTCATTGTCGATAAAGTATAAATTAAATTGTAGATTTAATATTTAAAAATTAATTTTGAAAATTTAAATAAAATAATGCATGACTATGATTTATTGATACTTTGTGGTTTTGTGTTTCGGTAATTTTGTTGAACCGATTTATCATTGTTATGGATTTTAGGCTTTACTATTTTCTCTCTTGCTTTTGAACGATCGTAAAATCCGTTCAGAATTTTTCCATCAAATTATTAATTAATTTTTTTTTTTTAATTTTTTCGAAAAATTCTTTGAATTTTCTATTTTTTAGTATCTATTTTTTTTGTTGATATTTTACATGATTATAATTACTAATTTTTTTTTGTAACTGATAAAATAAAGTTTTTCACCCATTAGCTAATATAATATCGTGATTGCAAACAATTTTTGAACGGATGACACACGAATCGTTGTCGGTATTTGGTTTATGCTCGTTGTTAATGAAATGTTTTGCCCGAGTGGCATTCAATTTTGATCAATGGCAATCAATCGATGGAATTGGGATATTGTCTCTCTCTAATGAAAGTATCACTACGTGTGGGTTGCTAAAAAAAAAAAAAAAAATTCTGCTTTTTCATATCGCTAAATGTAAACGTGAGCAAAAAGAAAATTGAAGCATAAACCAACGCTTTTTTTTTAATACTACGATCTTTATGCTCTAAAATATATTGAGGAATAAGTTGGGAACGGTATAATGTGCCTTATATGGATTTTTTTTTCACTTGCAAAATATGTCGTTAACAGAAAAGCTTCATCGACGATACATATATAGTCATTGTCGAAAAATGGAATGGAAGCATTTTATAAATGTTTTTTTTTTTCTAAATTTTATGCTATATTTGATTAATATTTATTTTATCATATATCAATGTATATATATATGTGTGTTTTTCAATGAAATTTGTATATTTATAATCCGGTGTTGGGTGTCTGATTCATTTTTATGTCCGGGTTGTCGATGATATAGTAATTTTGTCAAATGACTAATGTCGAGGCGGCTTGATAAAGAAAACTTAAATTCATTTGAATCTACTTGTAAATTAATAGCCACCATTATTGGTGGAGACGCATTCTTGTTTGTGGCACTTGGGAATAATCATTGTAACGTTCTTTGTTTTTTTTTTTTCTCTCTCTCTGCATGTATTTTCATTTCTCATGAGGCTGAGGAGCTATTTTAAAAAAATTGACAACAATTTAATTAAAAATTAATTTTTGACTTATTAAAAAAAAAAATGATATTTTTATCTAAGTGTATATTCATTTTTAAATTGAGAAATATTCTCTAAAAATTAATTAATAATTGTTAACATACAGTTTAAATTGTGATCCGCTGTGTATATTTTATGTTGCTTTATTTAATTATTGACTTTATATTATTATTATTATTAATTCTGCTATATAGAGTATAACTTTCATGAAATAGCCTTGCGCAATCTTTTGCAATGTTTGACATTTTGCTCAATTTTCTGTTTGTATCGTTTTAATTCTATTTTTTTCCCCTATACTATCTTATTTGTTCCTGTAAAATATCATTGTATCCTTTGAAATCTTGTTCAATATGTAAAATTTAATTTTATATATACAAAACAAAATATTGTATACAAGTCTATATGATATATTTTTTTCAATTCTATGAAATAATATTTGAAATTTTATTGAAAAAAGAATATTAAATCTGATGATGCTTTTAAATTCAGATGTCTCAATCTGATGCAATTTTGTGCAAATTTTAAATATCTGTATTTTTTCTCCTGATTTTCGAAAATCGAATTATTGAAAAAAAACGAATATTTTAGTTTTGTTATTTTTATTACGATTCAATTTTTATTTTTATCCTCTATTTGTGATTCGATAATTTTCTAAGATTGACAATCTCTGCGTTTTTTCTCCCAGAAATTTTTTTCTCAAAAATTTTGTTACAATCTTCACAAATTCACACTTAGCAGAATTTTTCTCGTTAATATTTTTTTTTTTCTGCAAGTTTTTACAATCTCTTCATATTTCTTTACAAATTCTTTGCTATTTATTTTCTTCTTTGTAAATTTTTCTTTTTTCCTTAAAATATTTACAATTCTTTGTTTTACGCAATTTGCAAAATATTGCAAATTTTTTTTTTCTATCTCATCTTTTTTCTTCTTTTTGGAATATTGTGCATTTTTTTTTTCGCGGAAGATAGAATTTTCTTTTTTTGACTCAGTGTACACCAAAAACAAAAATGCAACAAATCTTTTTTGAAGTTTCTGTAAAAAAAAAAAAGAAAAAGACTCAAGTCGATGTGGCGACGAAAGTTAACGACGCTTAAAAGAAGCAAATAAAAAAATCTTTTAAAAGTCTTTTATTGAATGCAAAGCTTATGAAAAAAAGAAGGTAGTTTTTTTTTTTATTGAAAAAGAAAAGAAATAAAAAAAAATATGGAAAAAATCTCTGGTTAACTCGTAAACAGTGAGAGCCATGTGGTTTACAGCACCTGCCGGTACCGGAACTGGAACCACTGGAATTGCCACAACTAATATCAACAGTACCAGTACGAATAGACGCCGCCATTCGGTGGCAAGTCATCCCCATTCCACCAATAATTCCCAATCCGTTCATGTCAATACTACATCATCATCACCATCATCATTATCAACAACAATTTCTACAACAACAACATCAAGTATAACAACAACTGTCACCGCAACCATTGCAACAATCACAACCACAACCGCAACAAATTCCCATCAGAGAACCCTGTCGCTGCCCTTAGCTGCCGTTGCTATCAGTCAAACGCAATCATCCAAAAGATCCGTTTTACGCTGTATGTATTTTCCGTTTCATCATCATCATCAACATCATCATCATCATCATCACCTCTCTCATTTTTTTCCCCTTCAATACAATGCTGCTAAAAAAAAAATCGTTTGCAATAATTATTGAAGCTGCCGCAATATTTCTAATTTTGAGATTGTCAAATCTTTATAAATAAGGATTTTTATCAACATATGAAAATTATATTTATTTTCATATATATTTCATTCAAATTCTTTATTCATATTCCAAATGATGATATTCTTTCGAACCCTTGAGAATGATAATAAGAAATTCTATATTAAAATCTCTAATGCCCAATTTTTTCATCTCAATATAAAATTTTCATATTTTATTAGGTTATGGAATTTTAATTACTAAAAGAGTGGAGTAAATTTGTAAATTAAATCAATCGAAGGAAATAATATTTTTTTTCCATATGCAAAAAAAACTTTTTTTTTTAAATTAAAAATTTTTTTTCGATTTCAAATAGCTCATAAATTTGAGAATGCTTTAATAAAAATTATTACATTCATTTTAGTTAATTTTCTAGGATATTGGAATTAATTAAACAGGTTTTTCTTGAATAATATTTCTCTTACGCTGAATTATATGGTAGATACAATGTTTTTTTTTCTTCAAATTTTCATAAATTACGCAGTTTTCATTTTTTCTGAAAAAAAAATCTATTGTTTTTACATAATATTATTTTGTGATTTTACATCTAGAAAAATATTTTATTTCTCAAAAAATTATGAAAAAAAAATTGATCTTAAATTTAAGATGCTTTTTTTATTATTATCTTGAGAAATATGATTCTTTTTTCTAATTTGTAATTTAAATTTTCTGTTAAATAAATAAAAAAAAAGGTGTACGCACCTTTTTGTTTATTTTTACAGCATCTAATAAATAAAATTTTGCAGTGATTTTTTTTTTGTTGCAAAAACAGTCAATTTATTTTTAAAAATAAGTAGAAAAAAAATTAGAATAATTAATAGCGATAAATAATTCGTGTTTTTGCATAATTTATATTTTTAAAAAAAAGGAGAATATTTGTTAACCTTTATATTATAATAAATTGTCTTACATAATTAACTTTGTCGAAAAAAGAGAGATTTCTCATACTTGACAATTTGTAAATGAAATGACTTTTTTTTCACTTATTCATAGAATTGAAAAATTGTAAATATTATTTATAAATACATTTTTCATTTTGTTTATAGAATTTTAAAGTTTATCATCTATATTTAGGGGGAAAAAAACTCTTCCTTTTTTTGCTCTAAAACATTTTTTAATTCATATCTGAAATTATGTTTTTAAATAAATTCCTTCCCCTTTGTTTTTGTGGTCAATGATCAATGCTTTTTTTTTTTTTTTGGAGTGTCGAAGGTACAATGATACATTATGATCCAAATTTTTGGGAGAAAATTTTGTGTCTTGATAGAAAATCGGTTACAATATAAAGTTTAATATATGAATTAATATTGTAAATTGGCGATTTTTTTTTTTTTGAAAACATCAAAATTTTGACCAATTGGATCAGTGTCTGCATGCGTGGATTTTATAATGCAGGAATAATTTTATTTATATTGAAATATTAACCCAGGGAATATGGTTTAATTGGAATGATGCAACTAATCTATTTTTTTTCTCTGCTGGGTGATTGGCTTTTATTGAAAATTTTTATTATTTTTCTATATATATATATATATATATATTGATGATTTTTTGGATTTACAGGTACAAGTGGAAGAGAAAGATGCGATAGTTTACCATCGAGAGCACGAACAACGAGTGTTGGACATCCAACACCACTTGCGATGGTTCATCCACGAGCTATTCATTTGGGTTCACATGCACCAAGGCCACATTCAATGTACGGTCGTGGAATGTCATATTCACCACCTGTTTCATCAATGCCAATAAGTCCAGCTTCCGGTGCTTGCTCGACAGATTCAGCTGGATCATCACTATCAATGGACGATGGTTCAGAGAATATTCTCGAGGAGGGATTAACATCGCGATATGGACATTCATTAACACCAGATGAGCCCGTTATACTTGAGGAGAATGGTGATGATTATGCGCCATGGCCGAGTAATCAACAGAAATATTCACCAAATTACAAATCACATTCTCCATCGCAGGTGATACCAATCTGCGGTTTCATGCTTGTATGTTTAATTTCGCATTAATTGCATGTATTGCTTTTGGCTATTTAATTTTTAAGAAATAATAATAATATTCCAAAAATTGTTGATAATAAAAATTATTTTTTAAATTTTAGAGTTCCTATGTGGAGATGTACAGTCCTTGTGGATCAAGTCCTAGTCGTGTTGGTGGTGTTTATATGCCAATGAGTCCAGCAACAACGGCTCATTCGCATTCACGAGCCTCGTCATTGGTTGAGGATACTGGTACACTTTTGTCCGAAGGTTATGTTCCGATGGCTCCTGTACGTGACGATGGTTACGTCGATATGGATCCTTCAAATAGTCAAAATGGCGGTCATTTTCCTGACGATATGTCAGGTCATGGTGGTAGTAGTTGTTCAGTGACATCAGGAACTCCCAGTACGGATCTGAGATTCTCTGAATATCATCTCGATAAAGTAACAAGCTATTTGCCACCTGGTGAGGATCTTCAAGCGAGGCCCATCAGAGCCTATTCCGTTGGCTCAAGACCAGAACCTGTAAATAGGCATCGAAAAAATAGGTACGTTTTTTGTATATTATTTTTATAATCAATTTTATTTATACAATTTTTTTTTGTTTGTACAGCACCTTCCGTGATAGGTACGAATTTGCCCAACAAGATGTAAGTAGAGTGCGAGCATTCTCAGTGGGTAGTCGATCAAAAAGGCCCGAAATGGGAAGATTATTAAATATCACAACTGCACCTCTATTACCCGGTGGGGAAAATTCGAATACGAATAAATCGAATTCAGCGCCACTTTTATCCAGTTCCTGGGGTCATAATTCTGGTTGTTCAGTTAATTCCGAACGATTGGAGGATCTAATGGAAATGGATTTTTCAAGATCACATTTACCAACAACACTATCGTCACCACCTTCGACTTATTCGCAATCGCAATCTTACTCCACTGCCACTGATACTAGTTCATACGTTGACATGTCACCGGGACAACAAACATCCTCGACTACTGCCCCTTATGTCGATATGAGTGGCATAAAGGTAACAAAAATTATTATATTATCAAAAGAAAAAAAAAAATACTAAATTTACCTTTTTTTCAGCATCGAAATAATAATAATAACACAACCACTGCCAATCACAACAATATTCATTCATCGACATCGATTGTCGATACATTAAAACCGGTGATAACAACATTAAAACCCGTCGAGGAAGCCGAATCACCTTACATGAAAATGGATTCCGGTTTGGATTATTGGTCAAAAAGTGGATCAAGTCCAAAGCAAGTGCCCTCACCATTACATGATGACTATATGCAAATGAATGGTCCACCAGGTAATATTTTTTTCTTCATTAAAAAATTAAAGAAAATCTAATTAATTATATTTTCCAGGTGGTACAAGAACAGCACCTGTCGATTTTCCTCAACCACGTCGACCAAACGAAGGTTACGTTGAAATGACTTTTAAAGTTCGACCAAGCCTTGAACAAGACTACATCAATATGAATATGGGCGCACGTAATCAACGAAATCGTAATGGTAATAATACTACTACTACTACTACTACTACTAATAATAATAATAATAATAATCGTAAAGAAAAAATACGCTCGCAACCAATTGCAATACTCGCCGGTGGTAAATCAACAAAAACAACGCCAAGTTTTCTACCTCTTAATAATGCAAGTCCAACATCTGAAAGTCTTGAATCAACACCGGCAACACCGCCACGTGCAACACCCACCGGTTCAACTGCAACAATATTTCCATTCTCATTAAATAGTCCTCAATCACCGGAGAAACCATTTGAAGAAAATAATAAATCATCAATAAATGATGAAGATTATGCTTTAATGCAACTGAGAAAAATTTCTGCACCAACAAATTCATTAATTAAATTAGACGATACTAAATTAATTGATGATGGTATAACGATACCAAAACTCGTTAGGGGTAATTCATTAAAGAAAGTTGATGGAATCTCTATGTCGAGTAATGAAAAATCTTCTACTTCTACTTCTAATAATTCAACTATTACTACTAATATTAATACTAGTCCAAAAGAATCATTGTCAAATAATCAGGATATTCTTGTGCCCCTTGCGAAAAGACTCAACGATTTAACAGTGACGAGACCGCGTCTCATTACAACATCGCCAACGACTAGTCCAACACCCACGGGATTTAAGCCCGTTCAATCGAAACCATCGTCACCGAAATTAATTGACGAAACAACAACAGCAACAACAACAACAACAACGACGACGACAATGACGCCAACGTCAACACCCACGTCACATGATTCAGAAGACTACGAGAAACTTCAACCTGGATATGAGAAAATTCAAACGAATTTCGAAAAAATTCAACCGGGTTTTGATAAAGTTTCAACGTTACATTATGCAAGTCTCGATTTACCGGAAGTCAGCGGAGCACCTCCGGTTTCGCCGACACCACTTCAGGAAGGCTTTAAATATGCCGAAATCGATTTCGGGAGGCTTAAACAAAATTAGGAGGTTTTTTTTTTTTTTTTTTTTAATGTTATTTTATTTTAATTTCTTTTTTTTCGTCAACTAAACCAGATCCAAGTGACGATATGCCGGGGAATTGTTTTTTTTTTCGGGAATAATGAGATTTTAAGGGAATTATAATATAGAAGAGGAAGTGTGTGTATGTGTGTGTGATTGTTGTTGAAAAATAAGTATCTAGTGACTGATAAATAATCGAAAATTTCATAATTCGATGATTATTTATAATGCGCTTTGAAAAAAGGAAAAGCAAAAAAAATTATTATCGAATTTTTTGTAGTAAAAAAAAAACTAGTCTTCTCATTTACATCATATAAAACGATATTTTATATTAAAATTCGAGAAATTAAATTACAAAATTTTAATTCCTGAAATAATTATAATTTATAAAAAAAAACACTTTTTATTTGAAAATGTGAAAATTAGTAAAGTTATTTTTTATATTTAAATAACTTTTTCAAAACATTTTTTATTTATATATATATACAAGAGAAATTTTTATTTTTTAGTTCAATGTAAGTAGTGGAATAGAAATTTTAATTTTGTTTCGATTCTAAAAACTTATAACGGAATTAAAAGAGAAATTAATTTCAAATTCGCGACGAAATTAAAAATTTTAATTTGATTCTCCTTTAAAGAAACTTTACTAAATTTCCATTTAATTTTCTTATTAAAATGTTTTTTAAATTATAAATCGATTTCTAATTTTTTTTTTGATACAATAACAGACTTTTTGTAATTAGAATCTGGATAATATATTAATTGTAGAGGTTTTAGAAAGTTTGAAAATTCATTAGAATTTTTATTGTTAAACAATTATTTATGTTGATTACTTTTCAGTCACTTCTTATTATCTTTATTAAATAATTAATGAATAAGATTTATAAAATAGAATTCTACAAATTGTTATTTTTTTTTTAATTCATGTTTCATTACATTTTTTTTTTGAATTTTATGGAAAATTTAATTCTTGTCATTTAAAAACTAAAGTCTTTTTAAAGTCGTGAATAATCTCGATTTCTTTTTTTTTTGTTTTGAAAAGGTTTTTAATACTTTTTAAGAATTTATAGATTTTCAATGAAAACGAAATAATGCAAAGAGTATATGTTTATACTCGATATAATGTGTATACGAATTAAATTAATTTGAAAATGAAAATTAATTAAGTATAGAAAATGTTAATTATTTACAAGAAAAAAAATTTTTTTAAGTTAAAAAATTATAAAATGTAAACAAATTTCCAGTGAAAAAGTTTTAAAAACTTTTTATTTTTAAAGTTTTATTTGTAAATTGATGGAATTTATACTTTTAACGATAAAAAAAAGTAGTTTCTCAATTTTACTAAAATTATTTTCTATTATAAAAGTTTGAAAGTTAAAAATATTTTCGAAATATTCTATGTACGTGAAATGTACATAGTAGTTGTTTTTTTTCTCCTTATTTGTTATGTGAAAACAATATTAAAGAATTTCGATAACAAAAATATTCAAACAAATGTTATTGAATGTTAATCCTTTTTTTTATATATATTTGTTTTTCTGTTTGCTTGTTAATCTTTATTTGTAGATATAATACGCTTGAAAAAAAAATGTAACGAAACGAAAAGACTTTATATTTACAATTCAATGCATATTTTAAGAGACAATAAGTCATTTCCATAAAAAAAAGAAACGAAAAAATTCGTTGTAAAACTTGCAGAAATTTTATTAAAAAAAAATTTTAATAAATTTTCTTTTAAAAGTGTTAAATAATTTTGAAATTAAAATTTCTTTAAAATTTAAATTATACAAATGGATTTCCAAAGTTTAAAAAGATAATGATATTTTTTATCTTCTAACGAATAGTCATTTTTTTTTTGTTTTTTTAAACTCGTAATTTAAAGATATGATAGTCTTACTAATTTGGATTTTTATCGTTAAAATAAAATAGAAATTTCGTCACTCATGATCTGGTTTAGTTAAAAAAAAAAGAAAAAAAAATGGTCTATTTAGCACTTGCAGGTATAATCGTCGGTTTTCGATTAATTTTGTCGGTACGTTATAGTTACAAGTTATTGTTTAAATGTTTTTTTTTTTTTTATATTTCGAAAGTTTGAGATGCTAAAGGTGAAAAAAAAATTGCAGCATTGTTCGTCTAATGGACTTGAACTTTTAAACAGATCGAAGATATTTGACTCATTTTAATTAAAATGACATTAAACGAGTCTTATGTCAAAACAAAAAAACTGTTTTAGCTAATGTGTAGAAAATGGACAAAAGTTATAGAGGAATGGAAGTTTAGAAATAATTAATAACAGGTGTGTGAATATACCAGAATTTTTTTTTTTTTAAACTAATTGTCATTCTTTAGTAATTTTATTTTGTCTATTTTTCATTTTTCCTTTACTTTTTCTATGTTTTTGCTCCCCAAAGACATAAATATCAGAAAGAAATTTTTCTGTGTAAAAAACACTTTTTTTCAAAAGTAAATTAAAGAAAATAGAAAAAGAATGATTAGGGAAAATAAAAATTTCAAAAGTAAAATTTAGAAAGAATGATTATTAGCAAGATTTTAAAAACGATAAAAAAAATGAAATTTTGCTTGTGCATTCATGCGCCTTAGAAAAAAAAAAGTTATGTCAATCGGAAAATGCTGATTTTTTTTTCCTATCTTAAAAATCGAATAGGAAATTTGTCATATTCGTTGTTATGTGTGTCTCATGATTCTCGATTTAAATAGATTTATAGCTGAATTTCTAAACGTTTTATCTAAATTTTATACATTTTAGCTGAATGATGTTTTTTTTTATCAAGCTAAAATTTCAAATTTCCTTTTTTTTTAGCTAAATTTACACGTTTTAGCTAAAAAAAAATTCTATATAGCTAAAACTTTTTTTTAGCTAAATAAACACATTTTACCGAAATTTTTAATTTTTAGCTAAATTAACAAAAAACGTGAGCTAAATTTATATACATTTTAGCTAAATATGCAGAAATATTAGCTTAATTTTAGCTAAATTTATACCGTTTAGCTATAATATGTTTTAGCTAAAATTATATTTTATAGCTAAATATATACACGTTTTTAGCTAAATTTGTACTTGGTAGCAAAATTTGTAACTGTTAGCATAATTTCCTTGTTCGATTGGAAATTGAATTAAAAAAAAAAAAAAGAAAAAAGAAAAAAAAAATTGTAAAAGAAAACTAAGAAATGTGTAAAGGAGAAGGTGAAAAATTTTTGTAACGAGGTTGCATGACTGACTTCGTTAGGAAGAATTTGCGCTATGATATTAAAATGACAATGTTGTGGCAATCTTTAATATAGAAATTAAAAAAAAAAAAAAAAAAATAAAGCAAGAGATTGTTTTTAACATTTATTCGAAAACTGAAGATAACTGCCGACAAGTGCTTACAGGATATGTTATTGCGCTTTTTCGTATAAATTATAAAACGCTTGATACTCTATACATACATGTATGCAAAAAAGCGTTAATATTGTAAAGTAAGTATATAAATATAAATATATATATATAAATTTATATATATATATATATATCCATATATATATACAGATATATATATATGAATATACATTATACATAATATACATATGAAATATAATATTAACGATTAATAAAAGTGGTAGAATAAATAAATTACTGATTTCATTTTTATTAACCGAAAATAACTTTTATGTTCAAATTTTGAATTTTTATTAATTTAAAAAAAAAAACTATCATTTTTATGAAATTATTAAAAAAAAATTAATCTTTTTTTTTTTAATCTTTTGAAATCTATTAATTATTTATTTATCTATTTATTATTATTATTATTATAAATCAATTATTTATCAATTATTTGTCGTTTTTAAAATTTCTGTTCAGTTGTTAAGATTACTGTTTGAAAATAAATATGAAATCTATGATTTCGTTTTAAAATGAGAGGATAAAAAGGAAGTGAACATTATCATCAGATAGTTAGGGAAATCCCCGTTTTTAATTCATACAAATCTTGCTAGATGGCGTAACAAGACATTGGGGGAAAAAAATTCAAATTTGTTCTAATTCACACACTTTTTCATAGATGGCGCAGAAAGACATTTGTTATATAAAAGAATAATTAAAATTTAATTACTTAAAAAAATAAAAACTTTGTTAATAATAAAATTGGATCAAGATTATTATTTAGTAAAAAAAAAATTTGATAGATTTATTTATTTAAATATAAAAAATTATAAAAAAATTATTTAAATTATTATTATTATTATTATTTAAATTATTTAAATTTAAAAAAAAGTAAACAATATTGTTTAAAAATTGGGATTTAATTTATTACAGTAATATTTAACAACTGAATAGTAATAATTTTATGTAATTTCTAAAAAAAAATTTCAGTTAACAAAAAAATCTTTACTTGAAACAGCGATAACTTTCACTACTAGAGTAATACATTTCCCTAAAACAGCGAAAGTTTTCACTAGTCCAGAGAAATATATCTCTGTTTCAGATAAAGATTTTTTTTTCCCGTTTATGAAAAAAAAAAAATTCTTATTTTGAGAGGAATAAATTGAAGTCTATAGAAGAAAAATTATTTTACCAACTCTCATAATGAGATTAATTTTTTTTTTTTCAAATCAAAATTTGAACATTTAAGTATAAAAAAAATTAATAATTTGATTTGTAAAAAATTGTCTATTTTTAATAAATATATATTATATTTATTTTTAATATTAAAATAGGTTTTTCTTTCGGTGGAAAATGTTTGAAGCTTTTTGGATATTATAGACAACTAATTGGCACCTGGGAGGTATGTTTACAAAAACTGTTATGAGTTTCGTTCACGGGATACTTCCTACGGTTCTCATCTCATCCTCTATTTTTCAACGTTATAACATGAAATTGAACATTTTTCAGCGTGACGGAAATGTCAAGGTACTTATAGTTGCAGGTAAACATACCCTAAATCATGAGCAATGGGCCAGAAGTGCTTTTCGTGACTGACCTCACTTTTCGTAAAACTGCAACACACGAAGTCATAAAAGTTCCAATTTTCCGCTCTCAAGGTATTTATGTATTTTCAATTTATTTCAAAATTGTTGATTTAATTTTTTTTTGTATTTTTCTATTATAAAATGGTTAATGGATTTCGCTAATGAATTTTATATTATTTAATAATTATAATACTGAAAAACAAAAAAAAATTTATTTGATTCAAATACTCGATTACTTGACTATTATCAAATAAATATTTACTTGAAACAAATAAATATTTACTTGAATCAAATAAATATCTACTAGAATCAAATAAATGTTTACTTGAACCAAATAAATATCTACTAGAATCAAATAAATGTTTACTTGAACCAAATAATTTTTATTTAAATTAAATAAATTCTATTTGAACCAATAATTTTTCTATATTTGAAATAAATTCCATTTAATTGATTTAAATAATAATTATTTGATATAAATAAATATTTATATTTGATAATAGTCATATAATCGAGTATTTGAATCTGAATAAAAAGATGAGAGAAATATAATGACTCATTTTTTTGAAATAAAAAAAGGAATTTTATTCTTACAATTAGTATTCTCAAAATAAGAATCAAGAAGTATTATTAATAATTTATAAAAAGAAAAAATACTTAAATTTAGAATATCATTTTTTGGATTTATAAAAAAAAAATATGAAAATTCAAAAGGCGATTAGGTGCACTGAGTAGTTGGGCTTTTTTTTTTTTTTACTGAAAAATGGAAAAATGCAATAAAAGAGAATTGTGGGTCACTGTGGGGAGTTCCCCCCACCACTTTTCTTGGCCCTCAGGTCGAAAATGAGACCTTTTTGCTTTGCAATTCTGGGTCGTAACTCGCTCCCTTTCGAAAACTAGACTTTTATTAAATTATTGGGGTCCTTCTGTTGCTTCCGAAACGGTCGAAAGCACAATGAACAGTTAGAAACTGTAAATGAACTGACCTGTTTACCCAAGATGGATATCGCTCTATACCTAAAGAAAATTTACAAATTTGCATGAATCCTCTATTTTTGTATATAATATAATATAATATTATGCCGTGAACTCAATTTGAGTTTCGCTTTTATGAGTGTCAGTCGGCAAAAATGGTTTATATTTTCAGGTGCTATTTTTAAATGACATACTCGAACTAATTCTATACAACATTTTACAATCTATATTTAGTCAAATTTTCCAAAATTTTTAAATGCTCATTAAGAAATAAAATAATATTTTATGCTTCTGAAAAGATTTTACATAATTTACAATCTTTGCGCACAAATTGGCAAATTTTTTACGCTTCATGGGGGGGGGAGTGGAGGGTTATTATTTTTATTTTTAAATTATGATATACATATATATATATATATATAATTTACACGGAGACAAATAGCTATATTAGCTAAAATTTAGTTACCTCAGCTAACCCCATTTGCTATTATATGGATAGCAATTATTGTTAGCCAATAGTTAACTTTCATAGCTAACATATTTTGTTATGGCAGCTAAATATTAGTTACAAGAGCTAAAAATTCGCTATTCACATAATAACAAACTCATTTTTCTCCGTGTATAATTATCATTCAACATAAATTTTAATTTAATTTAACAATATATAATGAAAATAAATATTTTTTATAATTTGCAAGAATAATTCAAAAAAATGTAAATGAAATTAAAAAATTAGAAATTAAATTTAATGATGAGAAATTTAATTGGATCGTTATTAATGAAAATAATGTCCTCGATAAATAAATTGAATTTGTTTAGACATTGTGCAAACAGAGTTTATAGTATTAAATTTAGTTGGGTCACGCTGTTAATAAGGGCTGATTAAGAAGCGGTCATTTTATAATGTTTACTGAACATGTTTCCTCTACCAAAGGGAAAACAGGGATAAATGAGTAGGTGGAGATTTTTCATTATATATTATTTTCGGACCAAATGGTCGTTTTATATGAGAATAGAGCTTTGGAAAATTAATGTTTTAACACTTTTTTGACAGTTTTACTACTTCAAATTAACGTTTTGTAGAGAAAAAAAAGAAATCTTTTCATCATCAATCGTTTCTGTATTAACAGTTAGGTCTAAAATGTTTATTTTGTCGTGAATTTTACTCTTAAAATATTGTTGATATAGAATTATTTTTTATTTTTATATATAAAATGTTAGCATGATAGTCCCATAAAAATAATTAGTTTCTATTTTAAATGATTCTAATTTTTTTCAATTTTTAATTTTGTCGAATTCTCATTTTTTTCGAATTAGTAATTGACAAAATTAATTTTAAAAACAAATTTTTACTTTACAGAATGTTATAGGTATTTTTTATTTAATAGAATTTTTTATTTTACATAGAATTTCTTTTTAGACAACTTTTTATTTATAAATGAATTCTAATTAGGCAGAATTCATATTTAATAGAATTTTAAGTTCTTCGAATTTTTAAATACTAGAATTTCCAATAAAAAAAAATTTCCAACTCTAAAACAGTTTTTAAAAATACAAAAATACCGACACATAAATCTACCCTACCGACTGATAGTAAAACAGTTTTTAAAAATAAAAATACAAAAACACCGACACAGAAATCTACCTTACCGACTTATGGTAAAACAGTTTTTGAAAAAACGAAAATATAAAAAATTACCGACATAGAAATTCACCTTACCAACTGATGGTAAAACAGTTTTTAAAAATAAAAATACCGACACAGAAATCTACCTTACCGACTGATGGTAAAACAGATTTTAAAAATAAAAACACCGACACAGAAATCTACCTTACCGACTAATGGTAAAACAGTTTTTTGAAAAATAAAAATATAAAAAATAACCGACATAGAAATCTATTATCAGTTGGTCAGGAAGATTTTTATGTCGGCAGTTTATAATATTTTCATTTTTCAATAAAACTGTTTTACCACCAGTCGGTAGGGTAGATTTCTATGTCGGTAATTTTTATATTTTCGTTTTCAAAAACTGATTACTATTAGTCGGTAAGGTAGATTTCTATGTTGGTAATTTTTATATTTTCTTTTTTTTTGGAAAAACTGTTTTACCATCAGTCGGTAAGGTAGATTTCTATGTCGGTAATTTTTTACATCTTTATTTTTTAAAAAAACCTATTTTACCATCAGTCACGTATATTTGAATTTGAAATTCAGTTAAATTATAGAATTCTTTTAAATAAAAAGTTGCGTAAACAGAAGTTTTATGAAGTAAAAATTGTGCTTAATAAAAGTTCGGTATCTAAGAATTTAGTTTCGTTAAAAAAATTTCTGTTAAAGGCTAATTTGAAAAATGAAAGTTTGTTTAAAAAATAATTATGAAATCAAATGAATAATTGAAATTTTGAATTAAAAAAAAGAATTTTTTTTAAATTGATCAACAAATTTTTGTTTGAAACTGCATTTTTATGGTTAGTGTCACACACACACACACACACAACACACAAGATCACCCTAAGTCAACAAATCAAAGCAGTTGCAGACTCGATCCTCTCTTTCTCTTTCACTCCCGAAGAGTGTTCTGACAAGAACAACTGACAGGTCTTGGATCATAAAATGAGTAAAATATATATGTATATATTTCGAAAAGGGAATGTCAGAGGAGATACAAGGACACAATTTTTATCATCGGGGGTCACATATATGATCGGCATATATATATATATATATATATATATATATATATATATATATATATATATATATATATATATATATATATATATATATATATATATATATATATATATATATATATATGTATGTATTTTGAAAATTTTTGGTTGAAAAATACACACACACATATATACATTTCTTGTGTTCGCTTCCATTAACGAGAAATTGCTATCGCTATATATATACATATATAGAGTCGCGTTAAAAGGTTTATGCGTGGGTGGCTGTGGTTATGGTTGTGGTCTGTAGCGTGTCACTCGAAACCGGACCACAAATCGTGCTTGTCTGAACTCGGGTCACGTTTAGGTAATATGGGTCTGCACTCTCTGCAGATCTTATATTAATTCAAGAATTTAAAAGTTTAAAAAAAATTAAACTCTTCTTTCAATCCAATTTTCAAATCTTTGATTATAAATTGTACTTGAAAAATTTTACATTTATATAGAAATAGAAGTCTAGGAAGAAATATTCTTTTATTTTTTGTTTTTTTAGCAAATTTCTAGGTTTTGTCGACAACGAAGTATATAGTAGTTGAATGAGGGATGAGGAGAACCCAGGGGTTGAAGCCATTTACTGGCACAAAGCTGCCACCAGATTGCCGTCGGGGCTTTGTACCGCCTCGCTCGCTTCGTTCGTATTCATGATTTAAATTCAATTGGCTTTATCTGCCGTCCCGCAGCGAATCCCGGAACTCAGTCGCTGATGATAGAATCGCAATATATGTTTGAGATCAGACAATATTACTCTTGACTTCACGTTTCAATATAACATATATGCAATTCACAATATATGAAAGCAAAATAGCGTCGCAAAAAGAATGTTTTAATCGATTATTAGTTGATTAATTTCCGATTAGTTTAATTTAATCAGTCTTTGAAACGCTCAATTAATTATTTTACAAGAAAACCTGTGGCGAATATTCCCAGATATCATGTAAACTTGCAGCAACCTTGGGACAAGCTTGCAGCGCAATATTGCCAACCTTTCACGGAAAACTCACCGCAAGTTTCAAATGTCCCACCTGATTCAAGCTTGCATGGTATGCTTATCGAAAAATTGATCAGTTATCCTAGCGAAATATTGCAGTGTAAGGTTACTGCAAGATTGCACAATAAGATTATCTCAAGATTGCTCGGTAAGCTTGTAGTAAGGTTGCAGTAACCTTACACTGCAATCTTTCGGTAGGCTTACTGAGCAATTTTTTGGTAAGCCTACCATGCAAGTTTGGGACATTTGATGCTTGCGGCAAGTTTGCCGTGCAAGGTTGGCAATATTGAACTTTTCGCTATAGTGCATCATACTCGATCGTGTCAGTTTACCATGTGTATTTAAGAAATTAAAATATATGAACTTCTAAAAACAA